ATGTGATTCCTCACGCCCATTTCCCCGCATCTCTCTGTCGTTGTTCGAGTTTTGCGAGCAATTTCCCAGTTGTGAGGGTTACTACGTTTGCGTGGGTCAATTGTGGTACCGCGGTCGCTTTCCACTGTGTTCTGGGTTCTGGAAACTCCGAATCGTTTGAAGCCCCATATGGAAGTTGCGTGCATTCTGTGCAATGTTGCTAAGGATTCTTTCCCTGTGCTTTCAAGTAGTTCTTGAAATTGAATGGAATAATTCTGAGATACTTATAGTCCGACGCTATAGGTACTGAACGTCCCTGTATCTCGAGCCCTCTGCAGTCCGATTTCTTGTTCGGAGAGAAGACGACTATGGCGCTCTTTTTCGGGTTGAACGTAATGTCGCGCTCGTTTCCGAATTCGCTCGTTATTCGGAGGAGTCTTCGCATTTCATTACTGTTCGTTGCTATCAGTACGAGATCGTCGGCGAAGAGAAGGCCCGGAATTCTGAAAGAGCTATCCTCTTTCAGGTCCCTTTGCCATGTTTGTGTTCGAACGTGGAAGCCCGTTCTCGTTTGCAGGAGCCTTTTCTCTAGGTCTGCAATGTATAGCATGAATAACACGCTGGATAGCGGGCATCCTTGTTTTAGACCTTTGGCTGTTGTCACTCAGTCCGACTCGGTTCCCTTCTCGATTATTTTTGTCTTATTCGAGGTGTACAGGGTCTGAAGGATTTCGATCCAAGAGGGGTCCATCCCTAGTTCTGCCAGGATGTTCCACAGCTTCTCCCGATCGATCCTGTCATATGCTTTCGTTGCATCTAGAAATGCACAGAAAAGTCCATTTTTTTGTTTTCTGGATATCTCGATTGCTGAGGTGAGGATGAAGAGGTCATCGTCACCTTTCCTTCCCGGTCGGAAGCCATTCTGCATTTCTCCTAGTAATTTCTGCTCTTCCATCCATGCCTGTGACCTATTAACCAGGATTTCCGCGAAGACGCGATTGACCACTGAGGAGACCATGATCGGACGATAGGTAATCAGCCTCCCTCTAGTCGAGTTTGGTTTCTTCATCATAGTCACAGGGCTCAGTCGCCACCTCTTTTGGAATACGTTGTCTCCCATCTAGAATTCCGTTCAGTATTTCCGCGACGTACTCAAGGCTATGAGTACGCTCGCAGGAATCTTATCGAGACCGCTGCTCGAGCTTGCTTTAATGCATTTGAGAATGGTTTTTTGTTTCTCACAGCTTGTCGCTAGTCTCGATGGCCTCGGTAGGTACAGGAATGGGATTGGGAGAGCCGGCTCATTGCTTTCAGACGCTTCGAGGATTTCTTTGGCCAACTGGGTGAGGTGTTGCGGTAGGGCGGAATCTTTGATTTGTTCTTCCTCCGCATTTCTGAGTTTCGCAGACTTCTTGATTCTGGGTTTGGCTCTGTTCACGTGTTTCCAGAATCTCTAGCTGCGTTCACCTCTTGGAGCTGTGAGGATCTCTCTCAACGCTCTAGTGTCGCGAGCGAAGATTTCTCTTTCCACCTCTTCTCTCACGGCTTGTTGAGCCGCCCGGTACTCTTCGCGTGCTCTGTTTGTGTCGTCAGACTCTGTTCGGCGAGCCAGACGCCATTAATTGTTTTTGAGTTTCCGGAATCTTCCGAGTTCCGAGATGCGTATTGAATGTACCACTGGTCTAGATTTAATCTTTATGGGTTAACTATTTTTACGTAGACTCCGTTTGATCCCTCGTTCTAGGTCCACACACGAGTCGTGACCAACCGCCTTGTTGCGAGCCAGTTGATCTTTATTCTGCTCAATTGCTTTTTTTGTGATGAGCTTGCTAATCAGCTGGGCTGACGGTTTCGTTCTAGGGGAGCCGGTAGTGCACTGTAGGGTCAGGAGGTTAAAATCACTAATCGCCTTGATCTCCCTTCCTTCGTCTATGTGCATGTACTCGATCATTTCCAGGGCTGAGGCGTTTCCGAGTATGAAATCGATGGCCGATTTTCCTCTCGTGCATTCCTCTCTACATTTCTCAGTCTCGTTCAGGATTGTTAGCCCGCAGTCGGAAGCGAATTCTTCAAGGAGAGTTCCTCTCGCCTCGGTATCACCGTCGATTTCTCCCATGTGCGCGTTTGCATCGGCCCCCATTGTTATGCAGTCATTATCGCTGCATCTGTCATAAATAAAAAATTCCATAGAGTCGTAGGTGATTTTGTTTGCGTCTCCATGTCCATGTGCGATATAGAAGGATAAGGTCATCCAACTTTGTTTGCCTACTGCAAAGGCTCGATCTATCCAGTCATCTCCTTCCTCGATCCAGATTATCTCCAGATGCGTAGGGGCCAGGATTCCAATTCCACCGTTGGGGTTTTTGCTGCCGCACTCTCTCCGCGTTGCTGCTATCAAGTTGGTAGCCTTCAATATGCGGACATTGGTCGTCGTTCATGGGTCGTGTCTCTGATAAGAGTATAAAATTAATTTCCTTGTCTATCAGTACGTCTCTCTCAAGCGCCGCCGATTTCGCCTCATTGTCTCTAGTGCCATTGATATTCAAAACACCGATCTTCAGCTTTGTCGACTTGTCTGGTTCCAGAAATTTATTATTTCTCTTTGCCACCGTCGGGTCGAATGGGCGTACAGGACCTTCGGATTTGCTAAAAACGAGACTTTTTGCCGTCTCTAGGGTCCGCTCGTCCTTGGCCTCTACCTTCCCCACTAGGTCCTGGTTGCTCTTGTGGTTCCGGTTTCCGCCATACGTATTTGGAACGCCGGATTCCCTCTACGGATGACTGTTTCCTCCGCTTCGGGGTGTTCTCCTCGGTCCTCCTGGGCGACCTCCCTCGTTCCTTTTGCCTGAAAGTGACTTTCGGGGGGGGGGTTAGGCTTCGTTTGGTCACTTGGCTCACCTCCCTTGCACTTCTGGTAGCTTTGTTCACTGCTCCCTCCAAGGCTTTCTTCTTCTCGACTAATAAATTAGCTTTCCTCCTTTTCATCTCGTTCCTTGAGTGTAGGAACTCCTGGAACGATTCGCGAGCTACTTCTATCTGGTGATAGTCGTTGTCGCCTTCGCTGATGTGGAGGAGCTCCTCTAAAGCTCGCTCGATTCGGTTCAATGCGATTTTGTTGCCAATCCCGTTGAAGCGGATGCTCAGAGGATTGTCAGCTTCCTGAACGTTAATGTTTCTGGGGTCCCTTGATATGAGTCTCAGGGCCTTAACTTTAACGGTCATACCTTCAACCTCTTTGAGGTTGGTGGCGTCGATGTGCACGGACTCAACTGTCTTGTTGGTGCCGCCTTCGATCATTGTAAACCACGTCACTGATAGCACTCTTTCGTTTCGTTCGAGTGATGCCAGTGGCGCGATGATTTTTCCGACAATTTCTACGGCGCTGAGCCCACTTTGTGCCAGGGAGCCCAGGTCGTCGATTCCTGAGTGACAGATCACGTGGACTTCTTGTTCCGGGTGACTGTCAAGGAACTGGAGAATCTGCGAGACAGCTGATTCCGCTTTAATCTCGCTTAAGCAGGTGAACTGCCCAAATACGGTGTTGCCCGCAAAGTGGGTGAACAAGTCGACGTCGGGCTCTCCGAACTTCAGCTTCCGGAGCCCTTTGTCTGTATATATCAGTACACAGGGATTGACGGTCTCCGTCGGCTGATGTTCTTCATCCTCGATGTCCATCCGGCCAACGGCCTCGGCAACTCCCCCTGCTGCCACGTCCACTTCACTTTTTTTTGAGGTTTTCTCGACCCTTTCCGAGTTTGTTTGCAGGGCTGCAACCTGTGACTGTAGCTCCTCGATTTTTTTTTGCCAAATCGAGGGCGTGCAGTTCGCTCTCTTCGAGAGCTTCTTCAGTGTGTTCTGCCTCTATCTGGGCCTGCAAGGCAGCACTGTCGGACCTCTGAAGGGCCAAAACTGATTCGGCCAGTTTCGTCCTTAGATGTCCGGTGAGACAATACCGATTTCCGGCTCCCTCTTCTATGGAGTTCTTCGCGCATTGCTCACATGTGCTTTCGAATTTGGCCATGTTATCCACGGACAAAAACCTTGCAGGGTAGATAGAGCTTTTTTGTTTATTTCGGTGCGCTGCACAGTTGTGTTCACTCTGCACGCACCACCACCGTTTTTTTGAGAGCTGTTCACAACGTCTGTTGTTGTTTTGAGTCTCATTGCCTTGATTGTGTCTCGTTTCACAGTCGCATCGTGGAATAATTTAATTAGTGCACTCCTTTTCACTCCTCCTTCCATGAGTTTCCCGACTACCAGCAGGAAAAAATAATTCAGGGTATGGTACTCGATCTGGCCCCCAGATCCCATTTCTCATGGAATCACCCGTTGTTCGTACAGCCGGGGTAGACCCAGACACAACCATGGCTCGCGAGCTTCTCCAAGCTCGATAGTGATCTCTGTCGTCCGAAATCGGACACTTCCGAGGCGGTAATGGCATGACTAAAGCCTGTAGATGTTCCGTGGGGGAGAAATTTATCCACCGCCGTCTAATCTCAGGAGGGTTGTTTCGGAGCGGTGTTCCCAGTCATTCATAGACGTTCATCCATCTATTTCTTATCGCCTGCTGTTTCGATCTTCGACGTCATCGATAGTTGACGATGACGCGGTCGTCAGGCCCCCAACTCGAGCGATTCGGATCCGCGGATTCAAGTAGAGAACGAGCGATTCCGCGAGGACTTCATGGAATTTTCTACCCGACCTTCGGATCCGTCAGACGAGAGGGTCGCATCCCTCGCTCGCCTGAGAAGGAGCCCTCTAATTAAATTGCCTACCTCCGAATGACCGCCATCGGAAGACTGAATTTCTCTTCTCAATTACAGCATTGCGACCGTGTCGCTGCTCTAGGAGTCTATTGCGGAATCGACAGCCCGCAACACTGTCAGCGCCTCTTTTCAACATTTATGGTCGCCGGGAACTAACAACACGGCCCGGAAACATTCGTACATCCAGTCCGCCGGGCTGCGAATCCTCTTTCTAGCGACATATCGGATTTCTTCCGAGTTCGACTCGAGCGCTATACCACTCGGCGTTTTTGGAAGGTCCGAGGGCTTCACGGGCGCATGGATGACGGAGGGAAAGTTTTGAGAGTCATTTGTGATAGATCCATCTACACGAACGGAAGGCAAGTCGATGATTTCTCGCTCCGGAGAAGGCCATGACACTCTTTTTTTTCGCGCAAGCATCAAGTCGATAAGCGTCCTTGTTTTCTCGTTGCAGTCACCTCCCGCTCCCGTTACGAGTAACGACCGTGGTGGGATCCGTGTTCTTCAGCGGGAGCGAATTACTCCATCGGGATTCAAACGGACTGCTCAGGTGACACTTCCACCTAATAGATTGCGAGTCTGGAAGCGATTTTCAAGATGACGGAGAAATCAAGGCGCTCCCGAATGGACTATTGGCATACTGCCAACTTGATCATGATCGTTTTTAGCGTGGTAAGATCATTGTATTTTCGGAATGTCACGTATTGATGCTGATGTGTCGTAGGAGCATAGGATCTTCTCAGTCTGCACTGTTATCAGAGATGTCAGCCTTATCGAGGGACGACTCGGGGACGATTCGGAGCCCTCCTTTGAGAGAGCATAATATGCTCCTGAAATGCTACCGAGACGCTTTGCGGTCTCCTCGGCTTCTCAAAGCTGGATTTTCCCTGAACATGCTGTTTTCTGCTTGAAAGGGACTCGTCAACAGCCTTCTCGGACCTTTCCTCATGGACATGGCCGAAATCTATTCTTCAGCCATGAATGAAGTGGCTGTCATGAACTCGGCGAGGGCCATCGGATTATTTATCGGATCCTGCGTGGGTGCGTGTCACATCACAGCATTTCTCATTCAGTTCTCGTTTCTCGTTCGTTGGCGGTCTGCTCATGAGAATCCGCGACCACGCTCCTCGATGGGACTTTCTTCAATTTCAGGAGGCTTCCTCTATGAGCGCATCAACGACCAAATCCTGATGATTATCATGGGCGCCGTATATGGAGTCGGGACGGTCCTCCATCCGCTCCTCCCAGACCTCACCTACTTCCACGTCTTGGGTTTCATCTTAGGAGTAGCGATCGGGATCTCCCATATAGGTACGACAGAATCCGTTCCGGGAATAACTTGCAAGAATTAGTAATTACCCAATCTGGAAGTCTAAAGACGTCATATTCCACGGGAGGTTTCTGCTCCGGGACCGGCAGCGGGCTGAAACAGGTAGATTCCTCCTTCGGCTCCTCCCCGGGTCCTTCTCGGGTTCCCGGAGGGCTTCCATGCGGCTCCTGACGGGCTTCCGTCGGAAAACCTATTGCCTTTTGGCGTACGTCGCTAAAGATTCCTAAATAATAATCCATGACTGACCGAGCTCCGATACCCAAGCTCCGCGCCATATGTCCTCGGGGCGGCTTGCCTGTGCCGAAACACGACAATCGGAGAAAAAGGTTCTGTTGCGTTGTAGGATCGCAAGTGCGTCTCGTGACCCTGTGGGCGGAGGACAGCGCTCCGGCTATCCAAGCCATCCACGCTTCCTACGGCGTCGGTGCCACGATCGGACCTTTTGTCGGTGCACCTTTCCTGAGTCTGAGGGAAAACGATATCATTGTGAAGGTCAGTAATGGAGAAAACATTCTGATCATTGAGTCTGACTGACGATAGATAAATTCGGAAGCGAATCTTTTCGACATCGATGAACGAGCGCTGTCAATCGGAGCTTGAACATTATTTTGCCGTTCCAGGAGACACGAATCTACATTCCGTATGCGGCTTCCGGATTCCTCTTCTTCTTGATTCTAATATCAATGATAGCGGCATATTGCGTAGATCCGATTGGAATCAAGAAGGCCAAGGAGAGCAAGAAGGTCAGAGACGACGACTCGAGTAGAGCTTTCGAAACTGTCCTCATGGCGCTTCTCGTTCTTTATCTGACTACAAGCGTCAACATCGAATCAACGTTCAGTAGTGAGCAACTCAATACTTGTCCTTCGCTATTCGATGCATTCCTGGATGTCGATTTTCTGGAGTCTCGTGAACAATATTTCTTTTCCTCGTAGCTCTGATCTCGGTCTATGCTCACGGCAGCCCTCTACTGGAGTTCTCGAAACCTGATGCGGCCTACTTGGCGGGAGTGTTCTGGACTACTTTCACGGGAGGCCGGATCGTTTCGATCTTCGTGGCCGCCTTCTTCGACGTGAAGAAATTCCTCCTCGTCTCCCATTCGCTCGTGCTCTGCGCCTCAGGTGAGGGAGTCGAGCAAGACTATCGACTACAATTTTCGCCAATACAGACTGGAGAAACGACGGGGAAATCGTCCCCCGGTCCTCAAACGGCGGTAGTATAGAGAGATATTTATTTTTGACTTTCACAGGTATTCTCGTCCTGTTCGGTTCCTCCGCTGCGTGCACTTGGATCGGAGTGGCTCTGATGGGATCAGGCGTGTCCGCCATGTACGGCGCCGCTAAAGCTCTAGTATTCAAATACTTCCACTTGAGGCATTTCCATATCAGCATGATTCTTGTGAGTTCTTCCCGATGCCTTCAGAGTGATCACACGTGGTGATCATGGCTGTGAGATAGAGAGCTGAGATACGATTCCCCTCCCGAGATCTCTAAATCTAATCTCTCCACGGTTCCAGACGGGCGCGTGTTTGGGGATCGCAGTGCCTGCTTATTTTGTACCACCGGTTGTGGAAAGATGGCCCATGTTTCTCCCGTACTATATCGGGACCTGTAATATTTCGCATTTGATCGTTTTACTCCTGATGTTCAACGCTGTCAGGGGCAAGCGAACGATACATGAGGCGAACGAGAAACCGAAAGGGATCCAAAAAGAAGATGCTCTCCCGTGATCGCAACTACCTTTAGCTAGAGTTAAAAATCTTCGAGACCCTCTCGTGTGTACTTGAACGCAAGCGTGGCTATGTTGTATCGAGCCAAGGATATCTTTTTCCTCTTTCTTTCACGTTGCCTCCACATACTTGTCGCTTGTGAGGCGCAATCCTGTGCATTGTCCTTGAATAGAGTCCCAAAGTTTCGATAGTAGAGGGAATCCATTCAAATCATTGAATAAATGACGCCCAGGCTCCCAATCAGCCGGGAAGGAAACTAAGGTCTACCCTACGCCTGTGTCGCCCCAGTAGAATCATGAGTTGCTAGTCGTTGCGTGAGAAGTTAGAAGCTCGAATTCGGATGACAACGAAAGTGTTGGTGCTGAGACGGAGACCGAATCCGGTCATATGGCTCCGGCGGAAGGGTTCCATGGGAATCTTGGAGATTTCCGATCTCTTGTGGCACACCTGTTCGCTACTCTTCGCTCTGAAATGTTTGTGCTCCGGGGAGAATAGTGTGCTGGAATTGATTCTGAACGGCAATTGGCCTCTTTTCGATTTATTCATGATTAGCCGATTCGTGTGTGGAGCGAGAGATTCAAGGGATCTCAGAGTGAGACTCTGGACTACGATGCTTCATTTAGACCGGTGGTATCATTGGATTTTTCACGTGGTGGTGTTCTTCCGCGCCACACATATGTTGAACATTGCCGTGTACGAATTCCGGCTCGGTGGGTTCATCGGTTCAGAGATACGGTTCTCATGGATAGGAAGAAGCTTCGAATACTCACGGCAATTATTATTGCTCTATGCCTGCCCTTATCGCGATTTTCTCCCCGGAAGGTCGGCTGATCGCATCGTGGTCCTTACTCCGCGTCGTCCCTCTCTACGTGGGTCGCAGCATTCACGACAAAGCTATCGCGATGTTCCGTGACCTGACCGCACAAGTAACCGGGGCAGATCCAAAAATCGTCGAGGCCATCCCCGAAGAAGCCTTCGACTCGGAGTCATCTCAATCAGCCTCCGAAAGAGCTTTGTAGCGGGTCAATCAAGTAGCGTGCAATCTGAGGCTCAAATTTGAACGCGCTGATTTAATCGACAACCGGATTGGCAGCGGGCTGGCTCGTATACTGAAGTGTCATAAATACTGACTTCTGAAAACTTTTAAGACAGTAATGGAAACGCCTTTGTTCACAGAAGAAAGGCAATTTCCTAACATTTTCTCCCTTACTGCGGAAAGTTTTGAGGAAGTGTCCAAAAATCGATCATAGCACCCCTGTTACACATATATACCAGAGATGGCAGAGCAGTCGGCCGGTGATAATTCCTCAGAATCGCCCTGAATTCACCCTTAGAATAAATCATGTCCAGAACGGCCCGAGAGCCCCCTGGCCTGAAAGTCATGATTTTGAGTAGCATGGCCTCGATGACGTTTCCACCCTGCCGCCTTCGCGGTGCTCGGCCGACCGCGTTGTATACTGCTAATTATGCTATCATTATTGCGCTCGATCGATTATTCCGAATCCGAATGCAACGCGGCAGTGGGATTAGCTAAAGACGTACGAGCGATAGGGGAAGACGGAAGACTGATCGCTTCCGGAACAACTGATCCATTGACCGCTGCAGTGAGTCTCGTCCGCGGGCTCGCGGATTACATATCCTGGTAGAACGGATGGGCTGCATTTACTGTTAGCGCTGACCTAGACCTCAAAGAGCGTCTGCGAGGATAAACATCGGAGTCGCGAAACGGGTGGAAGATCTTCGAGCATGGAACGTTCCGACTCCGCTGATACTCCCGGCGACTGCGAGTCTAGACTGTGCGTCTGAGGGAGTTTACGGTGCCGTCGAGGAAAACCGAGAAACCCGCGGACGCTGCTGGAGCTTGACCAGTAAATAGCCCGTACTCGTTTCTTGTCTCCGGGCTCCAGCGAGCTCCTTCCATTTTCCGATTCGGGGCAAATACTTCGAACCAATAATCCGGAAGTAAAGAGTCTGGAGAGCGCCGCAGCGTTAACGCACGAATCCGAGACATCCATGTTCGAAACCTCGTAGCACGGAGCGTGATCAGAGTCCTGCTGTTGGGTCCGAGCCGTGGGCCCGAATAACCCTCCGATGTCAAGGACAAACTTCTCGATAAACCTCACTCGAGAGTCGTAAACCAGCGGCAGGGCGTTCTGTCATCAAGCTCAATATTATCTCTCGACTCGCCTTCCTGCCTCAAGCTAATTTTACGACAGAATGCGATAATAAGAGGCAACCAGTAACGACTCAAGCCTCACATTGGATCATAGTCTCCGGAAGATTCGTGAGGGACCATCGCCGTGGGAAGAACATCGTCTCCTTCTCTATCCTTTCGCCATGATCGTGAATCTGGAGCGACCCGGCCTAGACTATTGGCACAGCATCAATCAGATCATGGTCATTTTCGGAGCGGCAAGTGTTCAGCAACCTCCGGATCGGAGGACTGGTGGAATCCCACGGACATCGGAGGCGATCCGCAACACTGGAACGGATCCAGGCCGGATAGGAGCATGATTTTGACCCGTCTTCTCGATAACAGGGTCTTTCGAGTGGAATCTACGGACCGTCTCTGATCGATCTGGCCGAAGTGTATTCCTCAACCCCAGATGGTATCGCAGTTATGAATTCAGCGAGAGCCGTCGGAATGTTCCTCGGATCATGCGTTGGTAGGTCAAAGAATGCTCACGTGGGCGTCGCCTTGAGCCTCGGGACCCAGAAAGCCAGCACTCAGTCAATGGTACGATAATTTTCCAGGCGGTATTTTCTTCGCGCGAATGAACGATCAAATATTGATGATTATCACGCTACTCATCTACGCGGCCGGAACGACTTTGATCCCGCTGCTTCCGAACATCACCTCTTTGTATATCACTGGTTTCATCTCTGGGACGTCGATAGGGGTTTCGCATATCGGTAAGTGATCCGTGCGGGGACTCGTCTCCAGGTAATTCCGTCCTGAGTGTGTCGAAGTCCCGGGAGTCGAATTCCGCGAGACCGTCATCAACATTACGAAATATCGAATTGTGCTTCTCGAATAGGATCTCAGGTACGTCTGGTCAAGATTTGGCCGAAGCAAAGTGCTTCGGCGATCCAAGCCTTCCACACAGCCTACGGAGTCGGAGCGATGTTTGGACCATTCATGGGCGCTCCCTTCCTGAGTGAGCGGGACGGCGACCTCATTCTAAGGGTGAGGAATCTTTCCGGTTGTATGTTAAATCCTACAAACTCAAGACGATTCAGAGCTGTCTCCGAATGTAGCGCCCCATTCGAACGTCGGTCTCTTCCGGCCACCGGCCCCGGTTAGAGCGGGCGAAGAATTTTCGCCGCCTCGAGTCGGAGCCCTGCGGGAGGGTTCTCCGGGCTGAAGGCTCGACCGCCGAAAGGAATGCGGGATTGGCGACGTTTGCCGCGAGGTCGCACGAATTCCTATATTCATCGATCCGGGACAGACATTTGAATTATTATCCCTCTTTGGTGGTGGCAAAAGCTTCGAGACGTTTCCGCTTCCAATAGTTAATCGGTGAACACAAAGAGAACCCTCTAAGTGTTCGCACATACCTGAAAATCTCTTTTTATCTCAACTGGCAGTTAGGCGAGCAAATGGTTTGCGCCCAAGGCGTCCAGATTGCTCGCGTCCGGACGGGCTTCACCGGTTCTGTTCGGGATTGTTCCAAGAATGTCTCACACGAACAGGGCTTAAGGACTAATCAAGCTGACATCCTCGACGCAGGCAACGCAACTCCACATCCCCTACGCTGCCATCGGAGTCCTCTGCGTCGTGGTCGTCGCATCCATGATCGGCGCGTATATCCTCGATCCAGCTGGAATTGTGGAGACGAAAGAAGCGAAGAAGATCGAGCACTCTGCATCGGATAAAAGATTGGAAATCATTCTGATGACTATGCTGTTCATCTATCTGGCCGTTTGCTGCAGTGGAGAATGTACATTCAGCAGTGAGTGCTCGATGTAGGGAAAAGGCAGGAATAGGCGATCCAGGAATCCATCTGTCCCCAATGAGCTGCCCCTCGACACCAGCCAGCGCAGACAGGCGCCCTCGAGCGTGCTGATTACGTAGCATTCGATCACGCGGTCGGCCCAGTGTCACCGCGGACGCAGACTGGGAGAGTCGTCGTGGGACCACACTGAGGTTTGAAATTCATGATCTTCAGCTCTGATATCTGTCTACGCCTTCGGCAGTCCGGCCCTGCATTTCTCGAAGCCTGAAGCGGCGTATCTGGCGGGAGTATTCTGGGCGACATTCACCGGCGGTCGGATCGTCTCGATCGTCATCGCTGTTTTCTTCGATGTGAAGCAGCTCTTGATCATCTCTCATTCGCTCGTGATTCTCGCCTCAGGTTTGTGAATAGCGGACAGACATCACATGGGAGGATCTCAAGTAGAGCATAGGAGGAGAAGTGGACTCTGAGGTATCTTTTATTTTTTCATGTTATCCAGCCATCCTGATCATTTTCAACAGCTCAACAATGTGTGCCTGGGTCGGTGTTGCCCTCATGGGTTTGGGAGCATCTTCCTTGTACGGCGCAGCCAGCGGTCTGGTCTTCCAGTACATTAACGTGCGGCATCTCCACGTCAGCGTGATCTTGGTAAACATGTCTGCTCATATGTGAGGGAATGCTCGTCGACACTAGTGTCCATTTTGATAAGAGCTTCCGTTTGCTCCTTTGAGAATTTCCGGAGTCGCCGTAAACCAATTTATCGTGTCCACAGGCGGCCGCATGCTTGGGAATCGCTTTCCCCTCTTACTTCGTACCGTCTATCGTTGAGGTGTGGCCGATGTTCCTTCAGTACTTCACGGGCTTGGGGAACATCATTCACATCATCATATTGCTGGCGATCTTCTGGGCTTTACGTGGGAAGCAAGTTATGTTCTCGGAAGAAGCAGGGAATCAAGAGCCGAAGAAAGACAGTAGCGTAGCCTGATCCATTCCGTACGCTCATGCGGCGCGAACGAATCGGGGCCTACAAACGGATACGATCTGATTATCACTCATCACGCGAGCTTGTCGCGACGGAGTTCCGGGCCGGTCCCGGGGTCCGTCTCGGTTGTTCGTTGTAGTTTCCCAGACGGCGCGGCGTTCGACGTGCACGTTTCCCGCTCCTCGTACAGATGCCGCACCCATCCAGACGCCGGAGCGATAGGGAGTATCCGGCTCGAGGGGGGAGGGGCTGCAGCTAAGGAATCTCGGATTTTCAATGGGGCAGGCCTGTCGAGAAGCTAGATGAACGCGGGCTAGGTGGTTCTACATACCGATGGAAGTTCGAGGGAGTTGCCTTTGGCAGATGACGTACATATAAATAAATATATAAGTATTGTCTGCAGCAAAACTATACAATTTCTTCGCCGAGCCTCAACTCTGTCTTGATTCTTCTTCAGCGAAAAATCTCACCCGAAAAATCACCTAACTATCCCCGAAGCGTATACCAGCGAATTTCTTCGAGATCTGCCACGTGTCCAGGGTTAGCGCTGTAAGCTCACTCCGTTACGCCGATCGTATAAGAGTGGCCGATTTCCCTGATTTCTAATGCTACTCCGGATCGGGGAGCAGGATTCTTCCATGCCGCTCTTTTTCGATTATTCGGGTGACCGACCCCTCACACGATTTTGTCTCTGCCTAGTCGACACCGCGCTGCGATAGTCGCTTTCGCTGCTCGCTGTGATTCCGGTGCCGAGCGACTGTCGGGGCATGCCGGAGTCAGTCATCAGCCCCATGCTCTAAGGCAATGGATTTGAGCCGAATCATGATTGTTGACCGAGGATGTTTCGAGGATGTCCAAAGGACGGAATATTCATGTTTCGATGGAGATATGTTGGGCGACGCCTTGGGAAGTCGGATGAAATCTCGGAATCGAATGAATCCTCGACTTCGAGCAACTTCCATAGCGCTCAAGCACAATATCATCAACTGGTGGGACACTGGGCAATCTATCGAACGAGATCGGGTTTTGACGACCGAAAAACTGAGCGAATCACGGCTCCACAGCTAGGGGAAGGGAGAGGCAGACTTGCTCCACATTGCTGCATTGTCTCACCTGGACTCTCACATAATGATCCCTCTTGTATCTTGGCTGAAGATCGCATTCCATTTGCGGGATCGAATTTCATTGGCGGGATCGCCGGGCACTGGATTCTGCGACGGGATTCCATCCTTCAGCTCCGCGAAAGTCCTGAGCGATACATTCGCGTCAGAGGTTCTTTCTCGGAGACGCTTGCGGTTCGATCGACCAAAACCGTGCCAGCTCCCTCGATTAATAATCATCCCATTGAGATTCCCTGGTAAGAGAATTGTCCGCTCTGGATATTCGTTCGAGGCACGGAATATCTGTGAATTCATCGAGAGAGGCATCTCGAAGATGGATGTTGAGATGCACAAGGTCTTTGACCACGGACAGAATACGATGATTGGCGAACCCTAGCGCCGTGAACATCATCCTTACAATTAGGATCTTTTGAATCTCTCGGCGTCTCGCTCGCTCACTTTACAGCCGGGTGCCATACTAAGAGAAACCGCATGGGCATCCCAAATGAGCTAGAGGTGCGCTTTGTCTCCTCCGACCGGCTTCTTCCCGTATTGCCTCAGCAAGAACAACGTTTTGTCGCAGAATCGAAGATCTCAGAAGTGAAGAATCGACATGACGGTGAAGTTGACTCGACCTTTCGTAGACTACTGGCAGAGTGCCAATCAGATTATGGTTGTTTTGGGGATGGTAAGTTCCGAATCGTCGAATCTGTGCTTCCCAGGTTGTGATCTTATCCTCGATAAGGGCGAATATGGACCAAAAGGAGCTCGAACTGAAATAGTCTTCCTCCGCCGGTGGAAAGGGACTCTCTTGGGGAATCTACGGTCCATCTCTGATGGATCTGGCTGACATCTATTCTTCGGCTCCTAATGAGGTGGCACTCATGAACTCAGCGAGAGCTCTCGGGAGTTTTCTCGGATCGTGCCTCGGTGGGTTCCCAGGTTCCAGAGTCGATCCCTCGCAAGCACTAGATCTCAGAGAGCCGTAGAACCATAAACTTCATGTTACAGGGGGCTTTCTTTACGAGCACGTCAACGATCAAATCTTGATGATGTTCACCCTGGCTATCTACGCGGTTGTAACCGCCTTGATCCCTTCACTGCCGAACATCACATATTTGTATATCCTCGGCTTCGGAGGTGGAGCCGCGGTTGGAATCTCACATATCGGTGATTATATTATGTAGAGCCAGAATCGCGACTTGAAACGAAAATAGATGCGATCATTCGCGGGTTCTTCTTATCGCCCAGTTTGCAGGGTCGCAAGTGCGTCTTGTGAAGATATGGGAAAAGCAGAGCGCATCGGCCATTCAGGCTTTCCATACGGCGTTCGGAGTCGGAGCCATGATCGGACCCTTTGTGGGCGCACCCTTCCTCAGTCTCACGGAAAACGGAGTCACTCTCAAGGTGAAAAGCAGGCTAGAGGCTCGGCATAAAGAGTTTTGGGCGAGCCACCAGATCTCGATTCCATACTGGAAGCCAACTCGAGATACCTTCCTCCATGACGAATGACGAGTTCCGATTTCATGTCCAGGAAACCCGGCTGTACATCCCCTATGTCGGTTTCGGGATTTTCTTCGTCGTGATCCTCGTATCGATGATGGCCGCATATTGTCTGGACCCATCAAGCATCAAAAAAACCGAAAAGGACGACAAAAGCGTGAATAGTCCCTCGAGCAGGACTCTGGAGATCGTGCTGATGATTCTACTGTTTTTCTACATCCAAACTTGCGTCAACCTTGAGATCACTTTCAGCAGTGAGTACAAAAATTGAGAACGCTTTCAAGGGAGACCGTCCTTTCGGTTTGACCACATTTGTCTTGTCCTACCAAAATCGATCATCGAGCACCTTGCCTCCCTCTTCACGAATGAAGGCTCGAATCGGCCCTCGCTTTCCACAGCACTCATATCCGTGTACGCCGTGAAAAGTCCAGCCCTGCAATTTTCTAAGGCTGATGCAGCCTATCTGGCAGGAGTGTTCTGGACGTTCTTCACGGGTGGTCGAATTGTTTCCATCGTCGTCACTGTGTTCTTCGACATAAAACAACTTCTGATAATTTCGCATTCACTATCAGTGTGCGCGGCAGGTGAGTCACCCGTATGTTCCTCTCCGAAACAGGATTTCAGCGCGCGAGGAATAGGTGCGCGGTGAGGTTCCGCTAAAGCGATCGTGGTAAGGCCGGCGGAACTCCCCCATTGCGAGGTTCGCCTCGGAAAATGGCGAGACAGGCCCTGTGAAAACAAAGAAAAACCTCCCAGAGATTCGTAGAATCGGGGCCTCTTGTGATGGCTTGAACAGGAATCAGCCGGGCTGAACGATGCCCCGAACGATCGGATCACCTTGTATCCGTTCGCTTCATCGGTCTGTCATCAAGCTCCACTCGGGAGGGAGATCCTCGACTCGCTCAGAAGCTGCATGAATGCCTTGAGGATGACAACAGTATTAAAGCGAAGCTTATCCACCCGAAAGCAAGTTCTTCCGTTCATTCAATCGATGAAGAAGATTTAAGTAGATTGAGGCTCACGGTAGCCCCCTCGAAAACAGGAAATGGGTATTCAGTCTCGGACACGGAGAAAATATCTATCCCAATATTACGGAGACTCTTCCTTGTCGGGAAGTGAATCTCTGTCATCCCCACTTGAGAGGGATCACCGACTCAATTTGACCAGAGGAACTGGTTTCGACTGAGACGCGGTCGATTGTGTCCTCAGGAATATGGCTCTCAGACTCCCTGAAATACTCTCCGCAGGTATTCTGATCGTCTTCTGCAGTTCGCCTCCGCTTGCGTGGGTCGGAGCTGCTGTCATGGGTTTGGGCTTGTCGTCTATGTACGGTGCAGTCTGTGGCCTCGTGCTGCAGTACTTCCACGTTCGGCATGCTCATATCAGCGTGATACTGGTGAGCGTCGAGGCCGGAACTTGACCGAGCTGATATCTTCCTGAGGTTCTGTATGCTGACTACAGGTATAACCCGATTGTTAGGCGTGCCTGAATTCATAATAATTGACTGGACTCTCTCATCAGACTGCATCGTGCTCGGGCCTCGCGCTTTCTGCTTACTTCGTGCCGCCAATCGTGGAGGTGCGGCCGATGTTCCTGATGTACTACTCGGGAGCAGGAAGTATTCTGCATTTCATGCTTCTATTCGTTATAATTTTGGTCACGAACGGAAGACCGACCATTCATTCGAAGAAAGAAGAAGCGCAAGAAGCACGCAAGGAAGAAACCGCAACGTGAGATACTCGACTCGATAATCACTGGATTCAACTCCCTGTAGCTCATCGACCCGGCGATCCATTCTCCTGACGAATTTTCGGATCGTGGCGCGGTCGCGGCGGAATACGCAGCGCATCTAGACTGTGAAAATGTACTAGGCATATAGCTTCTGAGTATAGGCGTGGTTTTTCGGTTGGATGCTGAGGAATACTCCATACAGGTATTCGAGTCTTGAGATGGGGGCCGCAGGGACCCAATGTCGACAGGGACCCCGACGCTGAGGGCGCAGGCTGGGCGGATTTAGTGGCCTGAGCGTGGACAGAAGTCCAGCATTTCCCTTGGAAGGAGGATAGTTATCCGCTTCGTGTATTTGTTTTGATCGTCCCACTCGAAAATAATCTTTCCAATGGACTCCGGTATATCGATCGTGCATCGTAATCGGCTGACGGGAACAGTAGACGCCTTGGCGACGATGACGCTGTCGCGGGCTCAGTCGAGTGCGCGGGTCGAAAATTACATTCCAGCTTGGTCGAGCCTCTATTCGCTGGGTATTCCAAGATACCGCTCCGAGCTCGAGTTGTGTTGACGGGATTATTCTCTAGCTGCATGGTGTCACTCGGATCACCAGTTATCCGACGACAATATGAGAGCAATCTTTTGGTTTGCGTAAATAAAGTCAGTGAATCTCCTTCAGTACCACTATCTCCCGCCACCAAAGAAGAACAAGTTTTTGCTTTTTCCATGCCGACACCGATGTCCCATCGTTCTACACGGATTGTTCGATCAATATCAAAACGGAAGCGCCTGAAGCAAATTGCTTGCTTTGACCTTAAACGGGCCGCTCAGCGCGTTGACTTTTCCAATCTGGACGTCAAAGATTCGATCTTGGCTGGGATAGCCGCGGAGCGGATGCAAGCCAATGCGAGAAACCCTTCCCTGACGATCTCCCGACAATAATAATGATCGTCAGTCGAGGTCATCTCAAGCTCTTCCGGTTTTTCCGAAGGACCGCTGTTCTCAAGTGATGTTTTCTGAGACCAGACTCGTTGCCGTCGACATGCCTGTGAGCACCGGATCATGACTTAGAGTGGACAGCTGCAAAACATGCCCGGGTTGAAGGAGATCGCCCGTGCACGTCGCCATCAGAGAGCTCGCTCCCCTGAGAAAAGTGGCTTGCTCGAAGCTCTCCTCGTATCGATGCGATTGGCGACCTCCATCGTAAATTCTTCAGAGGAAATCCATTCCCTGCCGTCGCGCCCGCTCACTTCGAAACGCCGCTGGTCACGACAGGAGCAAGATTCCTTCTTGTTCCTCTTTGGATGGACATACGTAGTCTCCATTCCCCGGGAAGGGGAGGTTCCGTAGATTGAGGCGAATCCAAATGGAGCGGATCATTCATTGATCTGATCGAACGGAAGTCGAAAATCGACTGTACGGTCAATCCGCCTGAAGGAGAAGCTGCCAAGAAGACGATGTCCGTCTGCTATGATCTATCATGACTAGGGCTGGGAATCCATCACGGGATTCACGGTCGCGCCGAAAGCCGTGAATTTCCCTTCTTCCTGAGATGCCGTGAATTTTTTTTTCACTCTTCTTCTAGATGTTTCCCGATTTCTAAGAGCTGTTTCCACGAGGAGATGAGGATTCCACTATCGGAAAAAGAACCTGACGTTCGAGAGACGCCGAAAAAATGATCATCAGCACAATCGTATCACCTACCCGGCATTCTCAAGGTCGAGAATTCACGGTACCGTGAATTTTCGGAAAAAGTGCCGTGATGAATTCCCAGCCCTAATCATGACTCATGATTCATGAGTCATGACAGATTCCGCTGAATGGAAGCCGACATGATTGTGAAACACGGACCGGGATTAGTATAAAAACGTTTCATTCTCGAATCTATCCGCTGACGTACCCATTGCATCCTCCGAATCCGATCTCATTCATAAATCGAGATCTGGGGTCAAGAACAAGAGGGTCAAGCGCTGGCTTCTTCCATCGCGAATCACGCCAGCGTTTTGGGGCAGCCTGCATCTAGGAATTATTTTGATCTCTTCGCGATGACCTTCCTCACGCAGTAGATTAAGATTCCATTCCAGAAAAGCCAGGCCGATGACCGTTCGATCCCGCTCCTCACTGAGAATCTCGCTCCGGCCCCTGTCGGGCTGTGCGACAGTCTCAACGATGGAGTTCCTCGGACGAAATCATTTCAGAGTTTACTCACTGAGCACCTCAGGACTCGACTGTACAGTGTAAAGGCTGCAATGATCATTATTCATCGCTTATCATGGATTGCCAGATTGATCAATGATCTGAAGAGAAGGGCACTCCGCTATTCCGGATATTGCCGTGAATGCTCGAATTCGCGGCTTGGGATCCGGACTTTCACCCCAAGGCGCATGTGGAGATACACCCAATCATCGAGTTAGCTTGTTTACCCCGAAAGACATCCACTTCGAGCCCTCACCGATCTTGGCATGCGATGTGATATCTTTCCCAGTCGGAGGCCTTCGATTTGCCTGACTGATCTTTGGAATAGGATGCGATTCGGGGAAGGTTTCGAATCTGACTCGTTCACCGACACGATAGTAAAAGTATGTAGCTAGGTACGCAGAGGGATCAGCACTCGAATACCCTCTCTCATCCAATACTAAAGCAAGAGTGACCCCGCTGTCTCCGCGCAACCCTGGGAAACTTTCGGCAATCAAACCTCTGTGCGGATCTTTACTTTATATCGCGTTGCGGCTCAGTCGATGAACATTCGTGCGTGGAGTCGGATTGCAAGATGGGCTGGCGGGCTAAAACAAAGATGGAGTGGTGGCACAGCTACAATCAACTCATGATCATGTTCGGAGTGGTGAGTTGATAATGAAGACGATGCTGTGCGCGGGGAATTTTAACCCTTGACGCTAGCTTGAGATCATGATGAGCTGCAGTCCCGATCATCCTGCGGCAATAGTTGGTCGGGGGGATAACGTGATGACCCATCCAATAGGGAATCGGCTTTGGGGTCTTCGGACCTTCTATGATGGATTTGGCTGATATGCATTCTACCACAACCGAAGAGGTGGCTTTGATGAACTCCGCCAGAGCTTTCGGAATGTTCATAGGATCGTGCTTCGGTATGTCACGATCCTCAATTCCGAATCCCTCATTGAGCTGATCCTAGTAGCCACCTTAGCCGAGAGCATATACATAAAACATGGATTGCAGCTCGACGTTTGGTTCATTTCACAGGCGGATACTTCTATGAGTTCATGAACGATCAGATATTGACGCTGATATTCTCCACCGTATACGGGGTGGGAACGATCGCGATTCCTCTCCTGCCCAGCCCCACGTATCTCCACATTTTCGGTTTCGTCGCCGGTCTCTCGTTCGGGATCGCACACATCGGTAAAATACTCGGGGATAATAAGGGCTTTCCCTAGAGGATCGTCTCATGACATGACCCCGCGCGACGTCCGAATTTTTGAAGTCGGACCTTTCTCCTCTGTGACTTCAGGGTCCCAGGTGCGGCTCGTCAAAATCTGGTCTGATCAGAGCGCATCAGCCATTCAAGCCTTCCACACTGCGTGCGGGCTCGGTTCTATGGTCGGACCTTTCGTCGTGGCGCCCTTCCTCAGCGCGAGACATGATGGTGTCCTCGTCAAGGTAGGAAAAATCAATGGATGCATGGACGTAAGGCTTTTTCCGCAAGGAAGTGCTTCATCAGGAGTTCCGCACGGACTGGGCCGCATCCGTCCACTTCAAGTGTGAGATGTCATCCGGGTCGAATACATGCTCGGTGGAGTGATCGTTAGGAGGTCCACGGGCTCCATCAGGAAGCGCTCGACTCGCGCTGTTGGATCTTTCTGCGAGTTCGGTCCCTAGATGCGCTTGCCCGAAGCGATACCTCGACCTGGTCTGCGAGCATTTGCTCTGAAGAGAAAGTGAAGTCTGCCAACATCTGTATCCTGTGGGTCGGAGGAGTCATCGCTCGAGGGATAATTCCGATTCGCATCATTGCAGGAGGCGGAGCTCAAGACCCCTTATTTGCTCTTCGGTGTCCTTTATTTCCTCATGTTTTCGTCCATGCTCGGAGCGTACTTCTGTGATCCGAGTACCATCAAGAAGATGTCGGTCGGAGGAAACGAAGAAGCTAAACCAAAAATGAAGAAATCCACGGAATTATTCATCATGGCTCTGTTGTTCGTTTATCTCGCCCTGTGCGTCAACACCGAACATACTTTCGGCTGTGAGTTGAATGTCCCGTGAAGCATGTCCCGACTTGTCGTAAAATACCTCGGCTCATCTCATCTATCAGACTCACGTGACCCTGTGGTCTGACTTCGATTACAGCTTTGATATCAGCCTACGGCGCAAACAGTCCCTTTCTCGCATTTTCGCGGACTCGATCGGCTTACCTAGCTGGTATATATTGGGTTTTCTTCACCTGTGCTCGGATAGCTTCGGTATTCCTGACTGCATTCGTGGACCTACCGCAACTCTTAATATATTCTCATTCAATCGCGACCGGTGCATCGAGTGAGTGGAAGGAGGTCTGCGCTGGATACAAGTCTTCGGAGTATTTCTTTTCCTGCTCCGGAGAATCATATATCTGATATGTCTTTCGATCCCTTTCAGCTATCATGATCTTATTCAAGCGTTCAGACACCTGCGTCTGGGTCGGTTCATCCCTCATGGGTGTCGGCGTGTCCTCGATGTATGGCGCGGCTTGTGGTCTCATCTTCGAATACATCCGCATACGGCATTCCTACGTCGGCACAGTTTTGGCAAGTATAGCGAAATATTCATTGAGGGGCTTTCAAGGGGCGTCGCGAATCACAACAGAACTTCAAACCTGCCTTTCATTGGATTATCCTCGGCAGTCTTCTATACATGTACAATCGCTTCCTCTGATGCTGGTGTGACGTGTTATGAAAAGTGTATTTCTCCCCCAGGCGGCTTCGTGCTTGGGACTTGCGATATCAGCCTACGCCGTTCCTCCTTTCATAGAGAGGTGGCCCATGTTCTTCCAGTATTTCTTGGGATTTAGTAATATATTGAACATCGTATTCCTCCTGATGATTTTCGCCGCTATCAGAAGCCGCGAGAAGATAATCGCGGATAAAGACGAGCCAAGCGACCGAAAGAACCATACTGATATTCCCGTGTAGTCTGATGACTGACTGCGACAGCTTGGAGCGTCCTCCATTGAAGCCTGCAGAACCCGATTTGGGGTCGTCCTCGTACGCAGACGCTGCCCGAGATCTCACGCTTCAGGATGACCATGGAACCCACAAAGCGAAGAACTGGGTGCTGCGCGAAGTCTGCGCCGCATTCGAACATGCCTCGCTGGATAAAAGTCTCTGCGCATCCCCAGATCTACACCTCTACCAGTGTACGAAGACAATGCTGTGCGATCGCGGTCACGAACGGACTCTTAATTGCCCTCCGGATGTCCTCATCATGTATCTATGTATATAAGTTCGACGAGGGACAGACTCGCAAACTAAAACTCTACCTAGCACAGTATAAATGAATACTGAAAGCTGAATATTCAGCACTCCATTCTCCATGTATAATTGAATGAGTTTGTGTCTAGTGCGATGACCTAACCGGATGCAGGTTCTCCATACAGGACTGGGGGTCAAAACCATGATGGGGCTCTTCGGAGGCGCACCCTCGCTTGAACGCAAGCGAGACGGAATCATTCTGGAAGTGAGCTTTGGCTGGAGGCCTGATTCGTCAAGACTCGGGCTAGCTGGCTGGCTGGTTGCTTAGCTAGCTAGCCACCCGTTCCTCGATCTGTCTCGAACGTCGATCTGCGGGGCTTCCTCAAGTGTTCTAATTCCCGGCGGTATCTACTTTCGGCTGCCCCGCGAGCATTCCGTTCGACGACGGGAACTCTTGATAGTTCAGCGTTTGCTTCTGGAACATGCCAGGTCCGCAGCTCAGGCTTCCAACCTCGAATCCCATCAATACGAAAAGTCGACGGAACCAGCGAGACCCTGCTCGAGTGGAAAATATCTGGAATGCCAGTCGATCGAAAGAGAGTTCATCGAAGAGGAGCGCGTCGCGGGAGCTCTTAGGGGAATCAGCCCGCTCGAATGGCGCTCTGGGTTCTGAACGAGTGGGTGGCCTAGAATCTTCCTATCTAAGCTGACTGTCCTTGAGCTCCGCTCGAGAGGGCGAGTCTCGAATCGCGAGGACATGGCCTAAGCTTCGCCCGACAACAAAATGGAAGCATGCTGGAATCATGCTTCCCCAGTTGCATCATGGGTGAAAGAGACTTGAAGAGATCTGGTCTACTTGAGCATTTTCTAGAACAGGGAGTCCGGGTCGAGCACGCACTGTAGGAAAAACTTTCCGAAGCTTCTCCATCCGTTCCGTGGATCCCCGACGCCCCAGGGAGATCACGAGTCAAATACTGCGATTGGGACGTCTATATCCGACGTCAGACATTGTCGGTCATGACATCAGATCGCGGCTCTGGATTAGACTCTCCGAATTTTCTTTATCCTATCCGTTCCTGTGCTTCAGCTTCCTTTCCATGGTTCGGCGCTGCTGTGATGGCTTTCGTCTTGTAGTCTTTGGTCCGTGAGACGGGCATCGCCCGAACCCGAGCATCCTTCCAAAGGGTAGCTTAACGCGCGTCATTGTATTCAAACCGTTCGTGAATGTCGTTTTGAAGGACATTCCCTCTTCATGAAGCTCACAAGGCAGGGCCGTGATCGTGACAGCCGAATGGAGGAACGATAGTTTCCTAGACGTCGCGTCGGTGACGTACCTTGAGACTTCTGATTGGGCTTCCCTCGTTTCGACCATTCCTCCGGTCAGGTTCCATTTCCAGAGGACCGGCAAGACTCTCATCAACGCGAACATGTGTTTCCTCTGACAGCTTGGATGACAATATTCAACATGTCCGAAACAATTGAAGGTCACAGGTGGCATCGGGATCGACCCCCGCGAAATCATGCGTCGCAAGAAATGGAATAGAGGCGATAGAAATCCGCTTGGACGATCTCGATACCTTCTACATCGAGGTCCAATATACAGCGAAGGGCAGTCTTCCGGAGCCTAATGTCTCGAAGCTGCATGACCTCTCGCGATCTGTCATAACAGCTTGCTCTAGATGGAGACCGACCGACGCTATTCCGTTCGGCCAAGCTAGAGACTTGAAAATGAGCTCAATTCTCTCCATGAATTTCTTGAAGTCGTCTGAAGTCGGATTCCTTTGATCGACCGGGATACCCAAGGGGAGAGCTGAGAGCTCTAACCCGAAGCGATTCACGATGATCAGGACGGAGACCGGCAGAGCCACTGGGAAATCAGCTTCCACGTCGGGGATTAAATTCCGCGTCGTCCCAAATCGCATCACTGAGAAGCCTCAAAGACGAAACGGCCTCGACTATGGTTCTGGAGTAAACGGGTTTAGATCCCGCGGATTTCCTCTAGTCGGAGAGCATGTCCGATAATCGTTCAGAAATCCAAGATAGGCGCCCGTCGAATGGTAGTACTCGTTCTGAGAAGCATGCCCGCCTGTATTGGATGATTTATTATTTGGAAGTGAAGGAAAAGTCGGAAACTTAGCTCCGGGAGGGCACAAGCTTATTAGAGCTCGTCCGTGTCCGTCTCGTTCGACACCGTGCTGAGGCTGCATTCGTTGACCTCCCGTTGTATAATTTCGTGCAGCGTTGTATAATAGCGTGCAGTCCATCCTTGGACCGCGCCCGTCAAACAGTGCTTTGGAGGAGTGCCCGCTGATTCAAATATGCCCGTCTATATGAGATCTATCGAACAATGTCCGTCGAATAGAGCATGCCCCCCATTGGAGGGAATACGGGAGTTATTATTAGAATTATGACGGTAATGATGCAGAGGTCTCTGATTTCCTTGAATGGTATGCCTAGCTGGATGCGACTCGAACGAGAGCTCTGTTCAGACAAGCTTGCCGAGACAATTGGCCTGCGACGTTGCACAAGAAGCGACGCAGAGGGACTGACTCTTGAATACCCTTCCCCTCCTGTCCTATGCTAGATCAAGAGCGAGTCCGCCGTTGCCGCGGACAGCCGGGAACGTTTCGGCAGTTGCGATTCGGATATCGCACTTTTTGTGAATATCAGCTGTCAATCGGCGGTGCGGCCACGCCGTGCAGATCCTTCTACGTGAGAGTCGGATCCTAAGAAGGGCTGCGGAAAGAGAACTGAGATTGATTGGAAGTAGGTAGGCATGCTTTTGAGCAACCGATGGATATATTCGGAGCTGGGACCTGTACAACTGTTTTCCCTGAGCTATACCAGTCGACTCTCGTTCGCGTCATCCGCTCTCACACAAGGGAAGGGATGAGCGTCGCGACTAGAGCCTGAATCTTGATGGTCTCCGACAATCGAGCGATCATGAAAAATAAGCTCGACTCTGCTTCACTTTCTCTCACAGACAAGATAGACATCACTTCTCCTTCGATGGAGACTCGGATTCAGGATTTCTGATTCTTTCATGATGGCTCTGTCTGATACTTATGATACGACCACCGAACGGCTGTGATGAACTCCGCGAAGCCTCCTGGAACGTTCAGGAGGTTCAAACGTAGGGATCCTCAATCCGAGTTCTTGTATGTTTCTCAACGTTCTTGGTTTTCTCACGGGTCTGTCTTTCGGGATCGCACACATCGAATACATCATGGTAGATCCTAAGGATCCCCCGGCAGGACCGTCCCATCATGTCCTTAAAGGCTGACACACTAATTTTCTATCATCAAGTTCCTCTTCTTAGGCCCGGCAGGGTTCCAAGTGTGGCTCGTGAAAATTTGATTCGGTCATTTGAACGTTCCACACTGCGATCGGGCTCGGATCTATGGCCGGAGCTCTCGTCGTAGACCTTCCCTCTGGTCGAGACATAACAGCCTCCTCGTCGGGCGAGAAGGAAAGCTCCTTTAGATGGTCTGTGGGAGCGTTTCCGTGGATGCCCCGCTAGGAACTGCTTTCCCGGAATAAAGTTGCATTCCCGGTAGAATAAGCAGAGGAGAGTGAGGCGAGATATTCCGCAAAGAAACGACGAACCATGCTGACGACGCGATTCGAATGCACGACCGAATGCATGGGCTCTCTGGATGCGTCGCTCGAAGCGAGATCTTGAGAGATTGCCGGGGGCTCCAAGGAGGGGGGCTGTGCACTTAGTTCTGGTCATGGAGTACTTGAGGACAAGTACTCCATTCACACGTTCGTATGCCGCGAGCCGGAGGAGGTCTTTGGCTCCGTCCTCGAGCATTCTACTCTGGAATCCGATCCTTTCCTGCGGGAGCCGAGGAATCGAGACTCCATCTTATTAGTTAGAGACCGGCTTTCGCACATTCAAGTTCGAGTCAAGCACCAATCAGCGGGAGCCCGCGACGAGCAACTCTCGGCACTTCCCCCCCCCCCGCGAACCGCATAAGAGCGTATTCGACGAGGCAAAAAAGTCACCATGGAGCAGGAAAATTCACTGTGAACGTGAGAGACGAGTCGCTGCCTGGGATAACAATAGAGCGCATGTGTTTCTGGGAACTGCCTCACTGAGCTGATGAGCGATGACGAGTTTTCGCGAATTCAAGTTTTGAGATTTTTTACGAGAGCTGTTTAACTGTTCTGACATCCCTCCTGACCCTTCGTGGACACGATTTCGAAAGTACATAGAATGAATCCGGATGCAATTGGATTGATCTCGGAAACTTCAGTGATCACTGATCACTCCTACCTCTAAGCCTATCGGGCAGCGGACGGGGGTCCGCAATAATGTACTCCCGATCTGATATCGTCGCATACTGAAGTGGTCGACTCGGTTTCCTCTTGAGGCCGAACTTCCCGCTAGGATGACGGTCAGCAGTGACTTCCCCCCTTACGCGGGATGGATACGTCGATGCCCAACGCTGAAGAGGAACCCCCACAGTGATGGAAATAGAATCTTTCTGAGCGCGTACTTTCGACTCGCCCCTTCCAGATCTTGGGTTCACTCTGGATCGAGATCTCGGAGCCAATCCCCTGCCCTCGGTGATCGTAAGTATGATCGTCCCGTGTCGACGGTTATCGACGCTCAGATCGCATCAACATCAGCATCCAGAGGTGTCAGATGCGGGGGCAGCGATCGAAGCAATTGACGCGACGCGTCATTTGCCGCGTTGCGTCGCGTCTGGCGATTTCCATGATTACCCGCTCAGCGACGGAGCATGTGCGACGGGTTTCTATGCTGTCCCGATATCGTGGATTCGGACTCAAAGAGCTCCCTGTGCCGAGTCCCGATTCCAACCCGGGAAAATAATCGAGATCCCTCCCGATGAGGCCACATGAGCAAGCCACTCCTTGGAGCGCGGGGAGTATAGTACAGTTCGTTGGCTCCCGATGCCATTGATCGATTCTCGACGAATCATCGGGGACATCGGGGACCGCTGCCTGCTCGACGACATTTCGGATAACGCCGGCTGGCGCTCGTCTGTCCTCGCTACACGCCGGAAGACAGTCGCTTATGTATCACTCTTCTTGACACATGAATGAGCCAAGAGACTCAAAACTTTGCACACTGTGAATGATTCGTCGGAGAGCCTGGCAGAAATATCTTTCTCCAGACTCTGCTTGCAATCGTAAACGAATCTGTGCGGTGTGTTCAGCTACTCGTTGAACGATTTCCGGATCCCAGAGAATCTCTGAGTTGATGAATTATGAAGTGTCTTCGCGGTCGGAGGAGTGACACGTGACACCTCTACCTATAGATGCTGAGATCGCATCAAGCACGTCGCACCCATCTGCTGAATGGTGAGTTGCTTCGGTTGGATACATTTTTTGAATAGTACTCAAGGGAAACCCAGACGCGGCTCGCGCGCTCAGCGCGGCGGTCTCAGGGACGCGACGACCGCGCAACTTCTCTTCCGCCGGAAAATCAGGTAGAAAGTCCAAAGGGGTCATATGGATACAGGGAGGCGCGAGTCGAATACCCGGTCGGATTTTAGAGAAAGGCAGAGATTAATGAAAGATTCAGACTGACCGCTCCGGAAAAAGTGCTCAAGCGACCGCAGGGAAAGGGTCACGGGTCCTGAGAAGATGTTGAGAGGAGGGAAACCGCGAGAAAATGGCCGCGATCGGCGTTTCAAGTCAGTTCCGCTCGATAGCCTCCCTAGATAGCGAGATACCGATTCAGTCAGATCTGCGCAGATGGTCGACGTTCTCCGACAGCTTACCTTCTCTTTCCTAAAGACTCGGTTCTCTCACCCTCGGCTCTTTGCGCGGGCAAGAGGCCGAAAGGGCGTTTCGAACACTCGCCGAATTGGCAGATCCTCCACGCACTTTTTTTCCGAGAATCGTTCCGGGAACCTTATATTCGGCTATTTTTTCATTTGATCATCAATCATGTAATCAATTTTAAACGCTCATCATCGAGACAGTCTCTAGTATAATTGTCGACCAGGTGCTCCACATCAGTGACCTTCCTACACCTTGGTCGACTCCGGGCGATCTCGTGCCCGACCCGTCGCTTTCCGGGACTTGAATCTCGTTTCTGTGGACGTCTCGATCCGAAACTGCTCCGTATCTGACATCAGCTCCTCGAGACCAGCCTGGGAAACTTTTCGGTAGACATCTTGAGTCGAATTTCCCCCGAGCCCTGTCCGAGTCCTTCCGGGGAGAAGCTCCCATCTCCAGAATAATATTTCCACTGGGGTTCCAACTCGCCGCGCCGGCTAGATGAGCGCAGAGTTCGGCGCATCTTTTCGATTCGGCTTCGCGTGCTAGGAGTTCGGAGAGAAAGTACGCAGAACTGTTCCCACCTGTGCTCGTCAATGACCACGATCGAAGAGAGGATCCGAGAAAAGCGATCGAGCCCCTCATGTTCGATGATCCCCCTGAGTGCGCCATGATCGCTGCAATCACTCTGGGTCCGAAGGAGATCTTCCGACCGATAGATCGTGCTCGAGAACGTCATCACAGCTCACTAATGACAATCTGAGATCTTTCCGCAGCGCTTCCCGCGCTCCACGACGACACCACAGATCCGAGAGGTGCTTTACGGGGATCCTCGGACGCCTGAGCCGCGACAGTGTCGTTGTCAATCGATAAGGTTCACTTGATCGATCGGTCTGGAGAGAGCCGGGACAGAGATGGCTGGAAAATCGAAATCGAAGCTTGACTGGTGGCACAGCATCAATCAGGTCATGGTCATGTTTGGAGTGGTAAGTCTAGATCAAGCTTCCAGCTCGTCAAATCAAGCGATGGAGAAAAATGACGAAGAGAGGAAATCGAATCGTAAAATTAACAAATTCTTTGATCGGAAGGGACTCGGGTTCGGCATCTACGGACCCTCTCTGATGGATCTGGCCGAAATCTACTCTTCACCACCGCGAGACATAGCTCTTATGAATTCAGCGAGGGCTATCGGGATGTTCCTCGGATCCTGCACCGGTTTGTTCTTCGAAATTCGAATACGGGGATACAATTCGTTCGACTGGCTTCCGCTTGCGTAGCTTTTCCGGACGATTTCAAAACGAGAAATTCATTCCGCAGGGGGCTTCTTCTACAATTTCATGAACGATCAGATCTTGACATTGATTTTCTTGATCATATACGGTGCCGGGACGGTGGTGACGCCATTGCTCCCGAGCATATGGTATCTCCATGTATGTGGCTTCGTCGCAGGAACATCTTTCGGAATCGCCCATATCGGTGAGTTGATACGGGAACCCTTTACCCTCTCCGTGGGATTCCGTGATCCGATGCTGCCTGATTCGTTGTCATGCCGTGGAGGGGCCTCACGCTCAGTAAGCGAGTTCCTCTTATTTCAGGAGCTCAAGTACGTCTCGTCAAAGTGTGGTCCGATAAAAGTGCATCGGCAATCCAAGCATTCCACAGCGCTTATGGGGTGGGCTCAATGATCGGGCCGTTCTTCGTGGCTCCTTTCCTCAGCCTGAAGGACGATGAGGACATCATGAGGGTAGGCAGACAGCCTCAACTTCTACAATTCTTTGTGCGCTATAATACATATGTCGGGTCCTTGGCATTAACGAAACTACTCGAAACAGGAAACACAGCTCCACATTCCGTACGCTGCCTTCGGCTTGCTATACGCAATGGTAGCGGGATCTATGATCGCTGCGTACCTATACGATCCGGCGACAATCAAGAAAACGAAGGTTGAAGATGAGCACAAGGACGATCCAGCAGGCAAACGATCAGAGACATTCCTCATGGTGCTGCTCTTCATCTACCTCTGCATGTGTGTCAATTCTGAGCACACTTTCGGCAGTGAGTATCGCCCCGGGTCTAGCAGCTTTTGTCCTGATCAGCTTTTCCGGATGAACTCTCCCGGTGATTTCGAAGCTGATGCTCATCGCAAGCATCTCCATTGCAGCCTTCATTTCGGTTTATGCAATCAACAGTCCTGACCTCGAGTTTTCGAGATCCGAAGCAGCATATATCGCAGGAATTTACTGGTCCACCTTCACCTGCGGTCGGCTCATCTCAATTTTCTTGGCCGCCCTGTTTGATCTGCAACAGCTTCTAGTGCTCTCACACTCATTGGTCATCGGGGGATCGGGTAAGGAACGCGGATCCTGGTCGGTGAAGTTGCGGTCTCATGTGATTGTCTTTGAGATCATATGTATTAAAAGCTGAATTTCGCAGCTATGCTGATCGTGTGGAGGAGTTCCGAGGTCTGCGCATGGATCGGATCTGGCATCATGGGTCTCGGTCTCTCGTCGATGTACGGCGCTGCCAGTGGTCTCGTCTTCGAGTATGTCCGCATACGCCACTCTTATGTGGGCGCAATTCTGGTAATTCCCGATTTTGTTAAGGATTTCCATGATAGAAAGCCCATGAGCTTCGCTCCTCGTTATTGGACTTCTCTGTGCATCGAACTATCCGACTCCGACCCAGTTTGATTTGTGTCCTACTTCCAGGCGGCCGCGTGTCTCGGACTCGCCATATCAGCTCACGCCGTCCCTCCTTTCATCGGAACTTGGCCCATGTTCCTTCAGTACTACATGGGGGTAGGAAACGTGTTGAATACGCTAGTTTTGGTTGTGATGTTCCTGGCTCTGAGAGGGCGAAGCAAGTTGACCGCGAAGAAGGAGGAAGCCCAAGAAATGAGTAGAGAGAGCGTGGTCGCCTGAATCTTCATTCCGATCGGTCCTGGGACCAGTTTGGCTTTCGGAAGCGAACCATCCATGTATCAGTAGAACGGAGTATTCAATCTCATTGAATAAAATGAAGAGAATCTCATCAAGCCCTCGACGATGTGGATATGCCTGCGGAGAGAATCACGAAGCATCGAGCGCATTTAATCCCACAACTTACCAAAGCAATCAGCCTGGGATTCGCGAAATGATCTCCCGTGTCCCGGGACAGCATTGGATCACCTGCGAGTCGGAGTAGGCAAAAGCTGGCCAGAGATCAATATTTATCGTCCGGAACTCGGCCGTTTATATATTCCTGAAGTCTTTCATATATTAAAAAGGTTCTTCCTGGAACTCGGCCTTGTGTCAAATTATCGCTCGATATACCCCTTGTACACAATGGGAGACGGCTGAAATATTGGAGGAGACTCGATGTAGACCAGGGAAAGTGTTTTATCATAGCGCCACATCAGGTGAAAAGGGACTGTCATACGAGAAGCTTGTAGGTGCAGGGTCTCATTCATCGGTAATAAGGGAATACGAAGAAGCTTATTCACGGCCCGCTCACGTGTGAATACCTTTTTGAATAAAGTGGAGTTTGAGTGGAGATCAGGTCCGCAGAGTTATCCGTCGACGACTCACCAACAGAGCTGAGCGCCTTCTCAAGCACCGAAACTCCCGCAGACTCAATGGTAAATCGCCATTGTGCCCCACGTCTCGGAGCTTGGCGCACAGCTCTGGTCATGAGTTCCAGAGCTCGAGCCTTTGACGAATCCCGTAAGTGAACAGCGGAATGAATCCAATCATCCATCATCTGCCAATTCATAGCTCTTGCGATACTTTCACGTCTGGGGCAACCCACTGGTCGGGACCTCCGCTGTTCCTCCGCACAGGTTTCCGAGCTCGTGGGCTTCCGCAGTTACCCCAAAACACCAGAGAACAAGTTGTTATGGAACATACAAAATTTTTATTCATCCTAGAATGTCTGACAGAACGCAGCGATCGATTCCGAATTCCGAAGACTCGGTCTACTCTCTGAATTAATTTCGTCCACCGCCTCCGCAATTTGTGCCGATATGCTGAGAGAGACAAAATTCAGGCTCAGTTCGGGGTACGAGCCTGGCGTTGGGAGAGGTCTTCGGGTTGGGAATGGCTTTAGAATATCTACTCTCGCTCGCTCAACCACACACGCCTTCCTTCTGACGGAGGTCTGCCCTCATTGGCACAGCATCGAGAATCTTCTGCTAAAATTACATTTCCGATAGACTCAGGCGAGGTAATTACGTCTTCATCTCGATTATGCAAATGCCCCCTTCAACGCATGCGTGAGTCTTGCTCACGGTCGTCCTCAACCCAGAATTACAGACAATCATATTTTCCAGCATCGAGATTATCCTCTTTTCAGTTGAACGCACACCCCTCTTGTTCTGATCGCATCGGAAGTGTCAGCTTGACACATTCGATCCTCCGCCTGTTTAGTTGAACCTGAATAATTGTTCATCTTTACAAAAAGTCTTGCTAAGATGCTTCTCCTCATGGATCCCGCGCTTTCCAATATTTAGTACCAGCCAAATTCGAGTCCTAGTGATCTCTGATCCCGGTCGAGCATTTATCTTCATCCAGAATTCGGTTAAGTCTTGTGCTTGCCTCGGTGCTGCGCTCCTGGAATTATTCCCGATGCGAATGGGATAGTGCCCGAGTGACTATTTTATGCGAGGGAGTGCGGAAAAGCCGTATTGAAATTGACATTTACTCGCCGGCCCAAAACATCGCGCAGCTCCCCGGAATTTCGTGGTTCATGCCCCGCATCCGGGCATTATAACTACTTCATAATAATTACAGTGACATCCCCGTCGTATGCTCGCATATTTCGGCGAAAGTTTTAGGATGTTGCGTCTGCCCACGCCCGAGGAGACTCCTGTACAAACTTACATCGCGTTACCGTGAGACTCCTCGCCGATGCGCGAGGACAAAGATAGCTTCCCAGAGACCGAAATCCCTAGCTAAATTGTTTCCCTGCTCGCTTGACGTAGACTTAATAATGAAACTTCTCTAATATTATACAAGACAGAGAAAAAAATCGTCTCCGGCAGAGGTGAAGCCCCGCGAAGCAGTAGACCCACAGCCTTGGGCGCAGTGACATCTTCAGAAGAACACAGCGGTTGACCATTCGGTTACCCTTTCGTACAAAGGAATTCGCTTTTTCAGGCTCATCGTCTCATCCTCCCGAGCTGTCGACCTCAACGAAATTTTCCTGAGCAGCCGGCGGTGTTGATCGCGCGGCGAACAGTACCGACAATCGACCGGCATCATCTGACTCCGCACCGCCGCGCCGGTCCATCAGGATCGATCATTCTTACCGATGGAATTCCACCATTGATTTTGTTCCGGGTAAACGAAATAAAACAACCGAGTGATGAACTTCTTGGCGTCCAGAGGTTTCTTCAAGGCTTTCATTCAAAGGTGTGAGTTTGTGTTCGGCGCTGTCTTCGGTGAGTTTGAAGTGAGTCTCTCGAGAACCAAACCGAGACAACCAAGAAGTCGGATGTATTCCGAGCCGGTTGACAACTCGCCCGTGAGGCCATCTCGTTGAGCTCTTGTCGACATCAACAGCAACAAGAACATCGTCAACGATAGACTGCGGCGAAAAGATGGCGTCCGGCTCGCAACGCACAGCTACTAGACTAGCGTTGAATAGGGGGGTGGAGGCGTTCTTCTGTACACCGCGTCGTAAGGCGGAGGGTCATGCACTTGAGGGGCGCTGGCAGCTTGCTGTACACCTGCGGATGAAGCACCCGCTGCCGACGTGCTCTGGCCAGATGAGGAGAACGTCGTCAGGGTTCCCGTGGGATTCACACTGTGGGGAGGTGTGGGATCGGCGGGCGGGGCGCTCGGTGTTTGAGTGACAATGGAGAGTGATGTCGCATCGGCCCCGATCGCGAGCGTGGGTGCAGCCGACTGGATAATTGTTTGTTGAAGGATACTTTCGTTAAAGCGATTCCGGAGAGTTTCCCGAACCTGCGAAAGAAATAGAGAAATCTACATGAGGCTCGACCGTGAGGAGGAGAGCGGTTCGGTGATTTCGGAACTCAGCGGCTGCGAAAATTTAGTAACTAGTCGGAAGTTCCTCGGTCCTTAAATATTACTCGATGACTCGCCCCGGAAATTCCCAACTCCCACAGTTCCTAAGGTCGTTACCCGGAGCGATATCTGATGAGGATCGTGAATACTCGCCATCGATTGAGATCAAAGGAAATGCGGAGCGCATCACGAGCATTCCTTACGTGACGTGCTCCGAGTCAGAAGGGAAAAAAATCTGCCTCTCTGCCCGTGGACTGATCAGAGTCTTTTCCACTGAAATGGTAACGTACGGTGACCCGCCACGCTAATGCGTGATCGTGCAGCGAGCTAATGACCTTCATTACTTCGACCTGCTCGAAGGAATCGGACACCGCCCTGCGAGGTCGTTCGACCGAAGGTCGCGCAAGCATTCCGTTCCATCGAGTCGGTGAGCTGTCGCCGTTCTCTCTGGACTTTTCCAATCTGATCACGGGAGGAGAGGAACATGTGCTGAACGAGAAAGCAGATCTCGAAGGTATCATTGCTGTTTCTATCGCCCGGGCCCTTGCAATGGTGCCAACAAGCGGTGTCTGGGCTACGCTTCCTACGCATGGTAGTAGATAGGGCATAGCGGGGCAGCGCTAACAGAACGCTTGGTTCCTTTCTTCAGCGGGACTCGCGCTCCCCGAGGAATCGTATATCACATCAGAACGTCGCGCTGCGGACACAGATAATAAAAGAGCCGACGGGAGGGACAATGACCAATAAGAGTAAGTGGTCAGTGGGTTGCAAGCCCGCGCGACGGCAGCAGCGGCTGCTCCGGTGACCGCAGCTGCTCCAGTTATAAAAAAGGGCCAAGCCTTGAACGGAACGTCGTGATGAAGTGAATTATTATCGACGACCGATGATGGAACTCACCTGAGTATTTACATGGTGGAAGTCGGTTTCGAACTCGTCGGGATCGGAGCCTCGTCGTTTGCGTCTCTTCGTCTGCTGCTCCAATCTGGCCTGCGCTTTCTTCTGAGCACAAATCCGCCTCCGGTGGCAGCAGCATCTCAGGCACATGATTTTCCATAACGAGCACCAAAACATTCCAAGGAATCCTCCTAACGCTACCAGGATTCCCTTACCCTCGGTTCCTTCTTGAGCAATCAGATACACCACCCAACAGAGTTCGCCTGACAAGGAAGGAGAAGAAAAAAAAACTCGTATTCAAGGATCATCTGAGGATTCTTCGGAGGAATTTCATTATGTCCGTGGTATCTCAGCAACGGAAAACGATATGATCTGCCAAGGTCCGGTCGTGCAACTTGGAGAAGGTCGCCAGATCAGACGTCGCTCACATCAGTCGACATTTAGTATACGACGGAGGCGTGTGGGTTTGACGAAGCTCAGCCCGAGGTGCCGAGAAGTGTATGATGGAGGAACAGAGGCGAGGAATGATAATTTTCCCCTTATCTCGAGTGCGACGTTTTCCATTGGAGCGACTCGCGAGCCCGCAGTTTGATGGTGATGATGTCCAGTGAGGAGGAAGTCGCGGAGCGAGACAGCTGTCGGAGCGTTATTTCGCTTCTCCAGAGAGGGGAGAGCTGTCGTCGACCGGAGAGACACCGGGGAGCCTAATGGCAGCGACTTATTGTTCTCTTCAAGTTTGTTCTTGGCTACGTGTATTTTCCGCGGAACAGCTTCTCTCCGCGACCCCTATCTCACAAGCGAGTCGCCCATTCACTTCCTCCAACGCACTCGCTCAGTTTCGGCCACCTAGCGAGTCATCAACTTACCGGAGGCGATGAGGACCAACAGAAACGGTAGACACTGTCTATGGACAGGCAGCTTGTGGGCGTATTTGCTACTGGCCGGGAGGAACAGGAAAATTGACGAGAAAAGCAATCCACTGACTGCTAGCAGAAGTATCCCAACTTCCTAGAACGATCCGAAGAAAAGTCTTCAGTCGCATGGAAACATTCAACGCAGACGAGCCGCGAGCTCGCGTATCACCTCCGTGTTTGCCTACCTTCAACGACAGCTTGGATGAGGCCTGCTGGACGAAAAAGAAGCCTGCGGCTCCCGTCAGTCCACAGAGGAAAGCGAAGCCCCACGCGGCTATGCACAGCGAGCAGCGATGATCGTACTGGTCATCGTAGTATTCCTGGGGGGGTCTCTCGGCCTCCATGGCCGAAGCGGGTCTCACCGTCGGAGCGGCTCCGGATACACCGGGGACACAACTTGCGGCGGCATGGGACGCCGCCGGGGCCGTTCCCACCGCCGCCGCGGCAGTTCCTATTGGAGCGGGGTCTAGGGCTTGAGGAGTCGATGCGGGGCCGGTCTGACTCTGTGGTGTGAGTGGTGGTGGTGCAATACCCGGTTGGAAGGGAGCTGCCATTTGCTGCGAGGAGAGAGGAAAACGATAGTAGGAGGAGAGAAACGAGGAGCCAGCGACGAGGACCCGGAAGGTCGCAAAAACGCTGTTGTCATCACAAAAAGACGGATAAGACCGAGAGAGGGGGAAAGAGTTCCCTCGATCACAAGGAGTTCAAACTCGTTTAGAACGAGGTCTCGAGAACGGAGGAGACGACGACCGGCCTCCGAGTCGCTGTTTTACCTGAATGGGAGCTGGAATTTGAGTGGGCGTGGCAGCCTGGGGCACCGCGTGAGCTTGGATTGCCGGAAATTGTGTGGCAAGTACGTTCGGCTGCATAAACTGCTGTGGCGGAGGCATGGTCGACGGATAGTACGGATAACCTAATGAAGCCAGATGTGAGAATTTAGACTGGACGAAGCTAAAAAAGTACGGCGCTAGTTTTCCCAGCGCTTTCCTTGGATACCATGAGATGTTTGGAAGACGGCAGAAGGAACCAGGGCCAAGAACTTGGATCTTCATCGGAGAAATTCGCGGAGCAAGTCAATGCGGAGGGAATATGAGTGCGAGCGAGAGGAATAACTCACCTGGGTATCCCGTCGGATAAGCTGCAGTCGTCTGCATGCCGCTATACTGCAAGTTCATTGTAGGCTTCATCGTGCCCGCATCTGCAAAGAGGGAAGAACATTGCTATCGTTATCGTCTGTGAGATCAGTGCGCGAAAAATCGTCCCCCCGGTAAAGCGTAATGAGTGGAGGGCTCCATTAAGGAGCAGTTACCACCACCAACAGCTCTGTATGGGTTCGGTTTTCCGGCTGACTTGTGCTGAAAGCCGACTTGACGAACGTTCAGATAGCACCCCGGCGAACGAATGAGCCCTACAATCGGCCGACCGGGAAAAGCTCTCTTCCCCGTGATCCTGTCAGGAACGGGAAGGAAACGGATAAACTCCTCTGGCTCTACTCAAATCATGCGTGTCCCGGTCCCTATCCGGACGCTCAAGGGAGACTTTCTAATATGCTGACTGAACGGAACGTACGTTCTCCACGGCGCCTGACCGACGTCGACGCTGAGGAAAAGTCCAGAGCCTCGGTGGAGCAAGTATATCGGGGACCCGGAGCAAGCCCGTAGCTCGAATCGCTTCGCTAGTTTCTTCCGGCGGCGTTTGATGGCGCCGAGACTTTTCTCTTTCGAGCTCTCGAAAACATTCGGAGCTCTCATTGCGACCACGACCCGACGGTGGCCCCGATTCCGTGGGAACGTTTATGTAAGCGAATCAAAATTCAGGGGAACGATTTGACTTCGATCCGATCGTCATCAAGCTCTCGCTCAGGCGTCGTCGGCCGCACGGAGAGTTTCGCACTCAGGCGCCCTGGGACGTGGCAGCAGGGGAACGCAGCCGACAGAAGCATCAACGAAAGCACCGACAGAGGAACGAGGAGGATCAGAGAGTGGTTTCTCATTGGGTTTTAATTCACGCTCGTTCCCGAGTCGCTCAATTAGAAGCCCATTGCTTGATCGAGTGCTTCCGCCTCGGAGCAGGCAACGTTTGCTTTTCTTGTCCCCTCCCAAGAGAACCGAGGTTTGTCTCTTGTCACCAGTTCCTCTTTGCGTCCCCGGATGACACACCTGGTGGCTAGGTCGAACCACGTACGGTACGCAGCTGGCGCGGCTTCTCCCGTCCCAGCTGCAACTTCTTTCCTGCCGTCGAGGAAGGATTGCTCATTTGGGCTCGGCTCCGGGACCGCCATCTAATCAAGCGGTAGGTTCTTCAGTGCGGAGTTCCGAAACCTTCCCCGGGCCCCTTATAGGTCTCGGTCGCCTGCGATGCAAGACCGTCCGCGTGCGGATAATTTGTAACTTCGCAGCTGACGACGACTAGCTGAGTGAGTCAGTGAGTGAAGGCAGGGCCAAACGGAAGCGTGCGACGCCAACGCTGTATCTGAGCACTGAACGGATGTCTTTTCGGTGATGACGGCGGTAGCAACACTGAACGAGAGTTAGGCCAAGCAAGTAGGAGAAGGGCGAGCAGCCAGCCGCCGCCGACGTCGCTGCTTCGTTCAGAGGAGGCGGTGATGTGCGATAAGCCTGGGACAAAAGCTCCCTACGGTGGAATAGGATGACAGCAAGAGGACATCGTTGCGGCGGCTTAGCGTTTTTACTATTGGGTCGAGGAAGCAGCGGCCCTACTCTAGAAGATGGGGCAAGAAGAGCAATTTATCATGACCACGGCGGAGACCATCTTCACTCTTCTCTACCGCTAATATTGTACTTGATCTCCCAATAGACGTGAGCGAGGACGAAATGGATCATCCGCATGGATCCATCGATGCACCGGCCGGACACAGTGACGATCGGGAGTCGCCGAGGCTGCTTTCGCGTGGGAGGAAAGTGAATACCGCGATCTCGACGCTCGAATTGTCGCCAGATTCAGGTGCTGTGGTTGCTATGCGACGAGAACTCGATCCGATCGGGAGGGAAGGAACTCCCGGTACGTTGGGAAACCGATGCTTGAACTCCATCCATGAGAATGAGATTCTCCTCTGAATCGCAATCCGTCATCGACGTTGGGAGCTCGCCGAGACGTTCACCGTATGCTCGAATGTGCAGGGAACGGGCGAACAGCGGACGCCTCTCGGCGAAGATAAGGCCTAATTAAAATTCATAAAAACCCGGAGTAGCGGCCAAGGAGAAGACGGCTGCTGCTCAATCGGTGGCGAAGTGAAAATATGCGGAGCCGGGAAGTGGAGCAACTCGTTTTCAGAGGCTGAACTCGTCAGCTGATTCATGGACATCGATGACGAGTGCCGCCGCTGCGACGCGATTGGATAGCCCATGTTCAGACAGGTTTTTGTCGAGGGAGACTCGAAGCCCCTCCGACGTTCTGCAATTGATTCGAATCGACCCGACCACGCAGCCTCGCCGGACGGGGAAGCGTGGGATTGTCCCATAGGGGCTTCTATATCAAGGTGGGAGCTAGCCGTCACGAAGAACGATCGGGACTAGCTCTGAACTCTCTCGCAGCAACTTCAGAAATCCATTTCGTTGATCAAGTCGCCAGTCGGTAGGGGTCGGGGGAGCCAGGCTACAGCTACGGTCCTAATCCTGGATGTTTTTTCCCGCTTCTGTGTCTTATGCGTCGTCAGCTCTGACGTCACTTAGCTCGGGAAACTCGAATGGGAATCACACACATTCTGTTCTTCTCCGGAAATGAGCTCAATCCAAATCGTCGTAGCAGAGTTCGCCTGAGGGACGAGACGAATAGGGACGTGCTTGCTTGGAAGCTGGTCCGGTGGTCCAAGAGGCGTGATGCGTGTTGCGCAACAAAGTTTCGGACGTCGTATCGCTCCAACATCAGGAACAAGGGAATTGTGATGGATGACGTAATGACAAGCTCTCACAAAGGCACGTCGCTGCGTTTGTCCGGGTCAATCGAATTGAGCGAAACGTTCTTGTCGTATTCAAATGACGACGACGAACTAATTCACTTTTCAGAGACGATGAGGGTCTCTAGCGAACCCCCTCTCAAAAACAGCCAACTAGCTAGGCAGCGGAACGAGAACACAGAAATGGGAGAAAAGTCCTCGCGTAGAGATCCCGAGTCTGGAGTTGACGTGCGAACGTGGAGGACAGGTCGGAATGGAACGTCGAATCGGCTCCGTGCCCCAACCAAGCAATTTTTCGGGGACACTTGAGAGAAAGAGAACGTGATTCGGATCGCTGCAACACGCTCTGAATCGGGGCGAACATTGATTCGGATCGGCGGAGCCAAAGGCGCACGGGTTAGTATTGGAAAATATTTTTCTTCCCGCAGAATCCTTTCCCTATTGGTTTCGGTTGCCGATTCGATGAAAGAGTAGCGGAGGATGATTGATGCTACGCTTATCCGCGGAGTCTATGTCCATAAGCGAGTGAGGCTCCTCCGTCCGTGGTGTGGATCTCTGGTCGGACTGAGACTTCTGTGACGTTTTGAGGGCTAAGGGTGCTCTGAGGCACCCGAGTCCTCTCTATGAGAATCGCTCTATTCTTCGAATTTCTCTCTGATCGAAGTCAAGTCCGCGGACGATGTAAATCTCGTCGTCGGAGATGTTTTCAATTCGAAATCGAGCGCAAGTTATGCCCGAGTGATACTCGTGTTGCGTATTCTCGAAAACGGTCTCTCTGCGGTTGTTCGCTCCGACGGAAAAGGAGCATGGAAGGGGTACGTTCCTCTCGGCTCGCAAGCAATCGAGGCAGCCAGTGAGCTAGCTAGCGAGCTCCTACAAAGGTTGCCTAGAGTACCTTCAACGATAAGAAGATGGGACACTTGACCCTTAACGTCGGCAGTGCTTTCGGTCGTCATTCCCGTCTCTTCAGCGACCGCCGCCGCCGTCGACGACCGTCCGCGTCGGCTTGTTACTGCACGTCGATGCTGTTCCGCGGGAGGGTGATAAATTTAAATCCCGGGGCGATACTAATCGCCTTGGGCAGCAGCAGCAGCGGCGGCGGCGGCGGCAGCAGCGAGCCCAGGAGAACAATGGAAGAACGATGCACGGCGATCATCCTGCGAATCAAGCTCCGGTAACAAAAAGGAGAAAAAGCGATGCTGGATCCTCTCCGCTCGGGATGGTTAGGGGTCGTTCACTCCTCGAAACGCTCTCTCGGAGCGCTACGGAAGAGGATTTTCCGATATGTTTATTCGGCCGCAACAGAGTGGCTACGGATCCTCGGGCGGAATCGACACGGATCCGAAAGTGAAACGCAGCGATTTCGACACGGAACGCTTCGCCTCCGATCGCTTCCTCTCAGGATACAAAATCCCTCCAGGAACGAATCCTTCTCCTGGAGTCACAAATCCCCGGTCGATATTGCCCGGTAGAAGATTAAAGGTTCAGAGAGATTCCCAAAATGCGAAGCATCTTCGATTCGCTGAAGAAAAAATCGCTCACCGCAAAAAGCATCTCCCGTATCCTGTGCACGACTCAGAGGCAACTCGGCATCATCGCCAAGAGTCCGCCTCCGCTCCTAGCTCCTGGTCTCGGGGTGGTTATATCCTGAGCTTCTGCTGCGGTAGTCGAATGGCTGCGATCACACAAACTTCCACCGTCGACGTAACAAACATAGCGAACAACTACACTTCGTTCAATTCAAATAGTCGTACAAGGCATCAGCTTCACTGCTGAGTAAGATGCCGAGAACGGGCTGGGGCCCTTCCTGCTGGAGGGCCGAGGAGACCAAGAGTGAACTCCATATTGGGCGAGAGAACGCAAGGAGGAGGGCAGCGCTTGGTGAAGGGAACTCTATAGCGGAGCTCCGTTACTCACCCACCTCCCACTCCACTAGCCCTGCGTCCTGAATCCACCCTACGGAGCATCCGAGCCACCGCTAACCATCCGAGCCGTTCGCCTCTCCACCTGATTTGAATCGCTTACACCTATTTCTGTAGCGACAAACGAGTCCTACGCTCGCTCTTACACTCCGCAGCAGGCTGCGCAATATTTGCCTGTCGGCCCGTAACCCGGAAGTGGCGACACATCAACATCCATCGTAATAAGCTGCCTGCAGTGGAGTATATTAAATCAAATACGCCTCGCTTTACGCTGCGACCTCTCGCGACCGCGATAGGCGGAGTTCATGGGGCTGTAGCTCCGACCGCGGGATCCTGCGATGTAGAAACGGAAACTCATCTAAACGGTCAATTCGCCGACCGACTTCGATAATTATCGCTGGATTGAACGATCGGCCAGTGGGGACGTTTTCAATCGATTTTATCGGAACGCCTCGAAAAACACCAACGCTCCGCAGTAAGATCCATATGCGAGACTCGAATTCCCGCGCCTCCTGCCCGTCAACCGCTTCCCACCAGCAAGAAGATTCTTTCTCACAACGCCTCCACGGCTGGACACAGGTCGGAATTGCTTTGGGGTAACGGAGACCAGACCATGGGAGCCGATGCATGATAGCGTCTAATTTCTCAGTCAAATATCCCCGAGAGGATTTAGCGGCCGCAAGCGTTGTTATTTTAATATCAGCGGGCTTATTATTACGAACAGGGCTTTACGCCCGGCGGCAGTGGTGAGGGCGAGGGGCCGGAGGCACCGTCGGTTGTGAGCTCCGGTGGTTGCGAAGGTGGTCTGGAGCAACGCAGTCCCTGGTGAGACGTTATCTGTGAAAATAGCTCCCGCTCGCAACAGAGCTGGCAACCGCAATAATTCTTTCCCATGCCGTTTGCGAGTTGATATACAAAGCCTCCTCAGCCGAACCGTCTCCACGCCGCTTACAGGCGCCCAGAGTAAATCTCGAAGAGGTGACTCGAACACGAACGTAAGTACGTACGTAAGCCTTTCCCCCCATGCCAGACGAGCGGATAATCTCCACGTCGGGTCCCACACGCTGCCGAGCATTCGAACTAAGGCAACTTCTTTCCGCTCGATCAAGGAACCGTTCCGACGCTTCACTGCTTGTTTTCGCGGGGGTGGTTGGATTGATCGTCACAGCTTCGTGATCGGGAGCATCTGGATTTCCGTCCGGAGAGTCAAACGTCCTCTCTCGAGGATGTGTGTTCTCCCTCTCATGATTCCTGATATACTCACGTGTCCCCAGACGCGGAATTCCGTCGTATTCACCGCCGCTGCGTCCCTGACTCCGACCGGTCTGTGATGCACCAGATTGACCGGGATCCAACGCGGATATTCGTTGAATCAGTTGAACATTAGTAATAAATGAGACGAGATACCTAATAAATTGTGGAGCTGAGACTGGGACCTGCGGCTAGTACATGTAATTTATTTCATCACGTAAATGAACATAATGAACGATCTCCCTCGAACGACTCATCGGCCATGGACGTGATGAACAATTATCTCCCCCGAACGGATCATCAGCTCCATTCGGGCCAAGGAGACGCATCGAGCAAGGCAACAGCGTGATGATGACGAGGTTCCTAAAAATCGGAGACTCTCCCCTTCTTCTCCCAGTCTCCATATCTCGTCGGCTCTGGGCCCCTGGGACCACCTATCTCTCCAGTGACCTTGTTGATATGATCTTCTGGTTGTTCGGGCTCATCCTTGACACTTCGTTCCTCAGATGTCTTTTGCTCGTCTTTCTCCGTCTTCTGCTTCGAGGCCGTGCTTTGCGAGGGTTTGTCGCACATGGAGCGCACGGCTTTCCGGCACAGGGGTGCGAGTCTGCGACCGACGAGCATCGTCTTCCGCTGATTTCGAAGAAGTTAGAGGACCAACAGACAGAATCGTCGTCGAAGTTCGATGCCACGCACTGAGTCGATGCTACCGCGCTCCGACGGAATCTTTGTCGTCAGAAAATCCGAGTCGAGACCATTCTTCCTTCGCCATCAGCTCATTTTCCATACGGCAGCGAAGATACTCTTTCGCGAGGTCCTTGCACGGAGTGGAGTCGGATGCGTTCTCTTGCAGACAAAGGAGATATTTGAGGACACCTTTCTTGCAGTCTCCGTCGTGGTCAAGCGGGAAGCTTCCTTTCTCTGGTGCTTTCGGCGTGAACGTTTTCTGACTGAAGGTGTAGCTCATTTCAACAACGCATAACTCGACGGGTACGGAGTTTCGCGCAGGGCTGACTCACGGATCGAGCGGAGTCGGTGCTCACTACGGGCCGAGAGGCCGAAAGAGAATAGAAGTCGAATGATGCGACGTTCGAATCTGTCACGGGGAGGTCCTTAGCTGGGCGGTCCAGCATCCGGCCGGGGTGCTGGAACCTCAAGTACGACCGTGAGCCTGAGTTGGGCCGCTCAGGAACAAACAAGGCGTGTGATCCTCGTTCTATCAATGTTCCGTTCCACTGACGAGAGGAGACTTAGGATCATGGATGAACTCGTACGGGGAGGTACTTCCCTTCTCCCGCTCTTTCCTCGATTGGGCTAAATCCTCGAGCCCCTCCTTGATGCTCTCGGCAATGGTCACCTGTATGTGCTTTCAAATGAGCGTATCTTCCGGAGGACATTTTTCTCGGTCGCAGAGCATTCTGCGCGCGCGAGAAAGAGGGGCCCAGAGACAACCATCAGCGCTGTCCGGAATCGATATCTCGTTTGCGAGGGAATCCATTTTATCCTCTCCGTGGTGATTATTATCGGAGTTGTAGATCCGAAGAAATTCTCTAAAAAAACCATGTCTCCCAGAGCGCTCATCAGGAGACGCTCCAGCCCTGAAAGAACTGACGCGGCATCGAGGGGATCGGATGAGCGTCTGCTCGCCGCATACGATTGCTCCTTACCCGATGAGGTCACTATTCCCAGACAGTCGTTTCATCTCTTATCTCTAAAAACATTACCCGTTAGCCACACGGGCGAACGATCAGGAGACGGAAATAGAAAGGTCAGTCGCTCGGAAGGACCGGAGCTTTCGAGACGGCAGAGGAGCCATCTTCGTGGAACACAGACGCAGGCTTCTCTAATCGCGAGGGGAATGATCGCACAAAGAACACCCACCGGAGAATCGCTCTTTGCCTCAGCCGGAGCAACCGATAGAGTAGTGAGTGCGTGCCTCCGCGTGTCTATCACCGATCGGATAGTTTCCTTTTGTTGCGTCCTTATCTACCGCATGTTGTAAGTGGCGAGATCTGACCAGGGGTCTGAGAGTGACTTGGCTGACATCGTAAACGCAGCGGTCGAGCCGAGGACGAGAATACAAGTCGAGTGGGACGGTGTCAAGAATCGTCTCGGTACACGCCAGGCGCAGTGGCGGATCCAGGGGGGAGGGCGGTCGGTCGGTCGGTTCCTCTTTCCTCGAGGCTTCCGACCTCCTTTACTCCTCATGTAGAAGCAGGACCCCGGTAGCTTGACGTCCCCCTCCCCCCCCCTCAGAGGATTCCTGGATCCGCCCCCTGCCCGACGAGCTGGTTTTCATCACCGAGGTTATTCTTGAATCGCAGTACCGCGAAATCGACCATTCCTGCCTGTAAATGCTGCCGTACCGTGGCCTTATCCACGTGGCTCGCTGCTCCGAGTCGGTTCAGGCAGGAATCGAGATGCGGCGGTATTCCAACGGCAGCTTGAAAAACAGACGAATCAGCACGCACGTTTCGGAAGCGAGATTCACCCCGAGTCAGTTGAAGAGTCGCAACAGCCGTATTCGCTCCTTGAAAAATGGTTCCGCGAGTTTTCTCTCTCCGGGGAAGCGAAGAGAACAAGAGGAGCGGAAAAAGAAACGTTGGCTGATCGGAGTCTGAAGGCGTAAGACAAATGCCTCCTGAGTCTTCGTTGGGAAGTGCGAGCGAATACAAAGGGGATGATGTGCTTGAAGAGGTTGGGGATTGTAGCGAACGACTCCTCCTCCGAGGGATTCGAAAATGATTCGCCCAGATATTCTCTACCGCGAAGAGGGTGCGAAGTCCGCGTTTCCGACGTCGGCGTCGCCGGTCTCGCTTCATCTTTCCAATCGCGGTATCCCAAAAATGCTGTCGCTTCCGTGACTCGGGACTCGCTGACCTCTGACCTCCTTGAAAATGTTGGGAATGGCCTCCCTGGTCCCTGAAGTTTTCGAATCGGGAGGAAATCAAACTCGACTCTGATTCGCACGCTGTGGATTCCATAGCGAAGACAGTCGACTCAATGAGCGGCCTCGTCAGCTTCAATGTCACCGCTCTCCGCCTCCAAATCCAATCTGGATTTGAGTAAACAAATCAGGAGCTCCTATTCGTGAAGTGAAATAGATTTCCGTGCGATGCGTCTCGCAGCCGCTTCCTTCTGCTCCTCTTTTATTCAGTGCATTTCCGATTCGCTCGGACGGCTTCACCTCCCGGGTTGAGACGATTTTCGACAGACTCGTATTGGGAATCGAAGATGGAAGAGGGCACATAAATTAAAGAACCCACCGACACCGGCCTGGGGTAGGAACACCTCCTTCCACGAGCATGGACTGACACTCGACTGCGGAGGCACGCTTTCAAAGACGCTCGGCGAGAGAGCGGCGGACGAGTGTACAGCGCGAGGAGATGAATGAAGGAACATTTGGCGAAGAAGTCTATTTCGGAAAGCTAAACCAGACGCTCGGAGGAGCAGAGTTCATCAGCCCAGGCGTTTCCTTTAACTGGAGGAAATTCTCTGAGGGAAAACTCTCGAAACCTTAATCTTATTCTTCCAAGTTCACGAGCCGCCCCAGATTTTCTGTTGGATTTCCTGGTTCTCTGCTGAATCCTGAGCGTTGGTCAGTCAGAAGGGAAGAGCTCATCGACCCCTTATCGAACATACCACGCTTATATTTTATCATCAAATAAGAACATGAATATACAATGATTCGGTACGTGTAGCATTACAGTTCGACAGTCCATCTGCCTCCAGGTTCCGACGAGGTTATATCGCGAGTTCTGTCCTTCCACTCGGCGAGGACATTATGTACATGTTTCCAGTAATGACGGATAGCCGTGCCCAAGCGCTTCACTTCCAGATAGCGACCGTTGTACTCGATGGCATGAAGCATCAAATTCAGTTCGGGACCTTGCCTTGCTGACTCTATAACGCCGTCGATGGTGATGTACTCGTTCGCTTTGAGGTGCCGCAAAACATCCATTGAGTCATCATCGAGCGTGGCCGTAGCGGTGAAATAGCTGGTACTGAGTTTAACTTCCACTTTGACTTTCTCAAAGGAGCTAACTCCCAGCTGAACGAAGCCGTCGTCCAGAGACCACGTCTCCAGACCGCAGGCTTCCTGCAAATTCGACCTGGACACGAGCCGGACCGAATTCAGGTAACAGGTGCCATAGATTCGCATTCCTTCCAGACGACTACAGGCGACCATTGCTTCGAGCGATGGAGTCGTTCGACACGCGTTGTAAATTTCCTCCGACGTCGTGTCCTGTGGCGTGAAAAGGATCCCGGGCGGAACCTTGTGGAACGCGTAGAGGGTCATGAGGAAGACAAGGAGGATTTTAATGGTCTTGGGAATATGAAACGTGACGTGTCGGTGGAAAACGAAGATCAAAGTTTTCAGGATCGACAGCCCCTGCAGGATCGGGGAATACTCGCAGGTGAGGAAGGCGAACGTAAAAACCGAGCAGTCGTGCAGGATATAAATGAGGCTGCACGCGACGAGAGTCATGCTCAGTGTAATGATATTGTCCTGCCACTCGGCTTTGGTTAGAGAGAAGAGACACGACATGCACACGGTCGAAATGAGTTTCAGGAGAAGAGAATATCGACCGATATACTGGTCTGGCACGCGGGACTTGGTGGCCCACAGGTGCAGGTGTTGAATTACGTCGACCAGGGAAATAAGATACGTCGTGCAGCTGAATACGGTCAGCGAGACTTTTGCGAAACTCAGCACCGATAGAACGATCATGGACGTCACGCAGAAAAGCGACAGGAGATGAAGTTTGATCCTTATCCACCAAATCCTCAGCCGGAAAGGCAACGGACGGTCCCGATACTTGGCATCGAGCGCCATCACTTGCGAGTACATTCCACAGGTGAACAGCGTCGAGTAAGTTTTTATGCTGACAATTAGTAGGAGAGTGCAGAGAAACGCAAAAAACGCATCAATCATCGGTGCCAGTTTGTGACTCAATAGATGATCGAACGCCGAGAGATACCTCAAACCGGTCAGACCGCCGACCATGATGGTCACCGCGAGGGCCACGAGGTCTCCGAACGTGTTCTCGAAACACTGCGAGAACAACGATTCGCATTTCGGTGCGTCGCCCGAAATCAGTTTCTGGATTTCCGCGGCCACCCCGTCCTCGTCGGCGTTCGTGTACATTTTCTTGAAGCGCGATGCAATCCGCCGCGAATACGTTGTCGCGAGCTCGTGGCTAGAGTAGCCTTGTTCGATCATATTGTCCACAAAAGGAGCTAGAATCTGCGGGCAGTAGCGTCGTTCGTTTATGAGCATGGCGACCGCTGTCTCGTCGCCTCCCCGAGCCGCCTTGAGGAGCCAGCGGAACGCGAGCTCCATGGCGATTCCGTCGGATTTCGGGTGTTCGGTGAGCACTTTCTTCGCCAGCCACACCATGCTGAACGTGCAACCGTCCAACGCCAACTGGAGTCTCATCTTGCTCTTCGAGTCTGTGAAATATTGACGGCGGTCGGGCGCTCCGTTCGGGTAGAGATCTTCCAGCAGCCGATCCATTTCCGCCTGGTCCGGCACCGTCCATTTCTTCGAGTTGAACATGACTTAGAAAAAAATTCTACGTTCCTCGTTTTCGGCTTTTTCCGGTGGGGAAGCGCTCGATGCGGGGATCACTGTCGTTGCCAGCGATAATTCGGATTCAATCGCTCCCATTCGAGCCGAGTCGGCATCCTATCGAGGAATTCGATCCGTTCCGCTGCCTTCCGTCGTCGAATTCCACATCAGCTGGTCATGCTTCACGTTCGAAATTCACGCTCGATGTCGATGTTTGCCAATTCACTTCTGAGGAGGGAGGGACACACAGTCTATTAGTCACACTGTCACTAGGAGCTCTCCCGCGCGCCGTCCGAGTCGGACATCGTGGACCGCATGACTGATCGATGAATATTCAGAAACACGAGATTCTCTCTACCGGGGATCAGCTCTCCGATACTCAGAACGGAATTAAAGTGCGCGACGTCCGGAGGGACGGTTCACTTCTTGTCCGTTTTCCGGCACGGACACACAGAAGAATATAACGGGCACACTGGACTACGACTAGTTAAGGAGAACATGAGTCGCAAGCGCCGTCCCACTTGCTATCGGCTGTCGCTGATCGACTGTACGCAGAACCGTTTTCGCTGAATCGGGTTCAACTGTCTGTCGGTTCGCTCGACTCGCGTTGGTTACTTGTTGGATGCTCGGAATCTCTTACCCTCTTCAACACGACGAAACTACCGCCACCACCGCTAGTTTGTTGGAAGCTCCTCTACACTTTTGCCAAGCTCTCCGGCTAGCTCTCTGGCTGGTTAGTGATGTGTCAAGAACAAGGCAGACGCCTTCTCCGGTACCGGCCGCCGCTAGTGGTGGTGCACCATCATCAACAACAACAGCCGCAGCAGCAGCAGCTCTGTGGTAGCATCAGCTTATAGCGGCGGCCGAAGAGAGAAGGGCCTCCTCAGAAGCTCCGGACCAAAAACAGCGCGCGCGAGATCGAGAAGGAAGTCGCACCAGATCCCACTCGAGCGGTTTTTCCTAAGCTGACAACGAGACAGCTTCGCCTTCTTTTCCCAATCGGATAAATCAGGAATTGGACTTCTCCGTAACTCGTTTTTTCGCGCGAGCGACGGACGATGGAGGTGCTTCCGCAGTGTTCGTCGTCCCGCGGACGGTCGACCCGGAGACGTCGACGAAGATCCATCAATGCTCGAAAAATCTTTTTTCCTCAGAGGAAATTGATTTTTTCTTCGCGCGGCGAAAGATCTAAATAAAGCTGAGGTCTGAAAAATCTGAAATTCGATTTTCCATAGGTACTCTCACAAGAAGCGGCATATCTAGTTCCTCGAGCAACAGAAAGGAGAACGGTGGCGAGCTGCTGCCATACGAGTCTCCATCAATCCACGAGCCTCCGTCCATATAACGAGAGGACACGCCACCAGCGAGCTCGGTTGCGTGTTATATTGGGCTTTAGGAGATGATGGTGTTATTGTTGCATGTGCTGCCATCTCTTTCTTCCAGCAGCACAGTTGAAGCGCGGAGTTTGCTGTTGAAGCCACCGAGGGCGCTCGAGTCGATCTCTTCATCCAAACTTGGCGTGGTCTTGTTTAGCAACCAGGTCCCCTTCGGGCTCTTAGACGAACGACGACGACGACCGACCGACCATCGAGCTCCTACGATAGCGCGTTCGGTTAGCGAACCGACGGACGAGCGGACGAATCGTCGATACGAACGCCTGCTGAATATTTTTCACAAGTCATTAGTTTGCTCATCTAAGTTAATTCGATCGACTGTCACCGAGTGCTGTGGCTGTAGTTGCACTGTTTCCTGAAGTTCTCTAGTGAATCATTTTTCTTCTGTGTTTTGGGAACTTCGAGGATTCCGTGTGAATTGTTCGATTACCCTAGCCGATCTACCTGAGGCTAGAGCGGCCCATCAACGAAACAATCATGCCTGTCTTCCACACGAAGACCATCGCGAGCATCCTAGAGCCGGTCTCTAATCAGGTGAGTCTCACTAAGGTAGAGAGCGGCAACTGAGGGGTTCTCGGTCGAACAGCTGATCGGATAGGGAAACCTGTCCTGGTGCGGCGGCTCCGCGGGAGGAATCCGCTGTGTTTTGCGGGAATAGAGCGAATGATTGGCTCACCACACGGTATATTTTCTGGCGGAACTCTTCATGGACCTCTATGTGGGTGGATTGCCAGATAACATGCCCAGTCCGAACTGCCCCGTTGCGTACGGTTCCCGCTAATCCGAGGAGCCCTGGCGCACATGCAGGCGGGCAGACCTGACTGCGAGCTGGCGCCGCGCCTCCGCTCGTTCGAAGCTCCCGCCAAAATAACTTTGAATGCTGTTGAACTTGAGCCTCAACTACCCAGTCGAACGGAGAAGGAGCGCGGATTGCTCACGGAGCTATGGCATCTGAAAATGTCCGGGTGATTGATAAGGTTGCGTGTATCTCTCGACGTAGGGAAGGTTTTATTTTATGAGCGGAACATATCCATCCCATGGGTACGATCGGAGGGGATTCCGTCTCAAAATAAGTTTCCGGAGTTGATACCAATGTTCCGCGCTTATCGGGGATCGGCTCATATTCCGGGTCGGGTCTATGGAGAAACGATTGTCCGGAGCAGGGCTCAATGGAGGGCTATGAATTTTGAGGATCGAGATCTACGGAGAACACCGCGTTTAGCACGCTCCCGCGAGGTGATACTCTGAACGGCTCTCCGTGTGAAAATAATTCTGCCCAGTCAGTTCTAGAAGCTGAGAGCAGCTCTGACATCAACATTCAAGCACTCCTATTCCGATGTGTTAAGTTCCCTGAGCGAAGCGCTCTACTGGTGTCGACATTCCTTCCCGAAATTTCGTAGACAGCGCTGACACTCGAAATAATCCACGCGTTCCTGTAGGGACCGTGCTCTGAAGAGCCCGCATGGCGATCGCGCGTCACATGAGTTCTCCCCTACGGCTCTATTGACACTGTGAGCTAAGAAGAGGGAGAGTTTCGCTGGTAATTATTCCCGGGAATGTCCCGGAGAGGTTGCTCTCTCCGCTAGGAAGCGTCGATACGGTAATTGGAATAAATGCCCCGAACGGATGAAATCGGCGAACATCTGTCGAACATCTGTTGTTGAACACCTCGTCGACGTTTTGGGATTGCGCTCCTCGGCGACACGGAGTGAGAGTGTAATTCTATCTGTCTGTCTGCGTGTTGCGCGATTGAGGTCAGACAGGAAAGTTGGTAGCTCGCAGGCTTGGCCGACCTGCCTGCCCGCTAGGTTCTTCGCTCGCGAGGGGTGGGCGGTCGGAAGGAAGGAAGGGAAAAGACGACAACCGTATATTGGCTTTTATCATTAAGGACCGGACGGTGGGTGGTGTACGCTCGAGCATGCGAGTTTGCCGTCACGGTCGGTCGTAGTTTGCACCCTGACACTTCCGCTTCGGAGTCGGCCGAAAGCGTTGCGGTTCCGTAGGAACGATAAAACGTTCCACGAGCTAGGAGCTAGCAGCCACCGCTGGGCTACTCAACCTGCCGATCGGTCCACCCGACATAGTATCATCAATCGCGGTTTCTCGGAATGTAATGGTTTGACAGTCACGGCCTGCACCGCGAGAACTCCATCCACGGTGCATACGTGCGGTAATACTGCTTTGCCAATGGTTCAAAGGGTCGTCGTGTCGAGGAGAAGCATTTCGGAAATCAAAACAATAGAGCCAGATTGTCTATTCGTCGACATGGAGCGACATGTTGAGCGACACTCGGACCATGGAGATGAGCATTCTCTGTCCGGGAAGGCTGACAGAATTTCTGCGAATTCATTCATGTATTCGGAATAATTCCTGAATGAATTGCGCTCGTGCTAATTCCTGGAGTACTCCTCGCTGCATCAGCTCTCACCCGGAGCTTGAGTGTGAGGCTGACGAGGATTCTCGAGATTAGGAGGGGAAAATCTCCACAGGAAATTTGAGGTTCAAGTTCAGCCTTGGGTTGTAAAATGGTCTTGTCGTTCCCTCTAGTTGACCTTGACCAACATCCTTGTTATGCATGGGCGTGCTTCTATCGACGACGGTCTGCCCAAAAGGCGAACAGAGAGGCGGAAGAGTTTCTATGCCAGTCCGCTTTGGTTGCGTCTTCCTTCTCTCTCATTCACTCAGTCAGAAATACGCGCAGTCTCCGAGACAAGGAGGTCAGCGCTGCTGATCACTTGTTGATATGTCATGGTATCAACTGGTTGAAAGCCATCTCTTTTTGATCGAAGACGGAAGGGAACATGCGTGGCTATCGCTCTCAATCTAGTCCCAATCGAAACGGCAACTCGAGAAACGGAGAGCTCTAATTGATTATCGACAGCAGTTCCTTGTCGGAAGAGAAACGATCTCGTGGAATTCTCGTGCGGAAACTCGAGAATTCTTCTGGATCTGGCTCCTGCTTTCTCGCTACGGCTTTGGTCCTATTTGGAAGTTCCGTAGGATTCGTCGTTGAGCGACGACAACGACCGGGGCCATCTGTGGGATGAACAGAATTTTTTTTGTGCTTCTGTAGAAAGTGCCATGATGTTCTTCGAGAGTCTAGAATATTTATTCGCGAGTGGCGTTGCGACACTTCACGTCATGTATTGGGAGAGAAAACTCGGGAGATCTTCTCAAGTCAAAGTGTGGTCATGAGTAATTCTGAATTCTGTGACTATCGTCACATAGTCCTTTACGACCCGGTGGCGTATCTTACGTCATGTAGCACGGGGAGCGTCTGAGATTTTTCGAGTCGAATCGCAAGACCAGGAGTTGCAGCAGAAGGTTCCCGGTCAAGACCTGCTCTCCCGCTCTGGGCTTTGGATCGCAATCAGATCCAGTTTCTTCACCGCATTAGAAAAAAAATAGCGTACTCGACTCCCTAGAATGGTCTTAGTTTACGCTAGTGTTGAGCCGCGATGAGAAACCTACGCTTAGACCTACCGAGTGTTGCGAGGTCACCACCACAGCATAACCAATACCGTGGGCGCTCCGCTGTCGGATGCGATTTGCGCTTATTGTCGTCTCGGAGGAAAAATCGGTCTGTTTACACTGTAGAGCGCCTGAGACTCTCAAGAACGTCAGTCGGTTGGATGAGTCACAGGCCAGCGGTGATTCACACTCGCTTCGCTAGAGCCGCTACATCGTCAGCGACAGCGTCACCACCATTACGAGTATCAATGAAAAGCGTAAATGATTCATCGAATCGACGTGCCGGGTTCCCGTAGCCATGTCTTGTTGGCACCGCATGGCGATGTCCTCGACCCCGGGTCGACTCATCTAGCAACGTCGCCGACAACGCTTCGAGCGCAAGTAGCCAGTGGACACTCCTCGCGTTAGAAATAGAATTTAGCTGCCATGAAAGGGCAAACCTCAAATCCGTTTCTAAAAGACCCGGTGCTCACACCCTGAGAAGGGGATCCCGGCCGGAGGAAGCACCCTGTTTCAGCTCCGGCGTCCCGCTGAGGTCCCCGGTTGCCGCCATTTTTTCCACCCGAGCCGCAAGATCACAGCGTGTCGGACCTCGGATCGGCCGACCAGATCAGCTTGATTCCGACTCCGGTTGGTCGGTCTCTTCGCTTATAGAGATTTTCTCTCTGCTCCTCTTACCTCTCACAGAATCCCATAGAAACCGATTCACGCGTGGGCCGCTCCTCAAAACTCACAATCAGCAGCGCGGTCACACCGCCCCGCCATACCCACGTTACGCTGCCGATGAGGTTTCCCTTCTATCGAACCAGAGCGGCGACATGTGCTTCTCCCGGAGCTTTGATTCAGGGAGCACATCTGTGGTCGGTTGCTTGGTATCGTATTCGGGAAATCGTTCCCTAGTCCGCAAATTTTCCGTCCACAGGATCCTGCTTATTATTCACTCTCATCACAGAGTGTCATGTTCTCCGTGCTCTTGGCCCGACGTGTCTCGACGTGGGTGCGTCCGGGACATCGGCGTATCTGTCTCTGTAGGGCTCTTCGAAGAACAAAGCCACTTCGAAGCCCTGGTGGTCCGTGGGTAGAGTTCGCCCGTTCGAGGATGGTACCATCAGTTCAGGCGGGTAGGACGGAAGACAAGAGAACGAACGAGCGAGCAAGCTACTAAGCCAACCAGCGAACCAAGGAACCGACCCCTTGCGTTGGTCTGTTGGTCGGTCGGTTGGTCGTCGGTAGGTCGGTCGCTCGCTCGCTCGCGCAGTGAGGGTGTAGGCTGTACGACGGCGGAGACCTTCCGGACCGAGACCGGGTCTTGTGCCAATGATTTCAGTAGGCGTTCTCTGCAAGGCTTGCCAACGATCACAGGAAGGTGAAGAACGCATCTTGTCGATGATTAAATGTCGAGGCATCATTGTATTTTCTGGAAGCGATTCCTACTGCCCGCGGGTCCTCATCGCTCCTCTCATGATATCGGCCCCGGGACCAAGCGAGACTTTTTCTCGGTGTCGAATGTAGAGAGCATCGGAAAAAGCCGTCTATCCATATTTGCTTGGCGAGATCGGAATCTTCCGGCTTGGTGTGTGCATAAAGGAGACAACTCGCCAAGGGTGTGTCAACATCGCTCGCTTATCGACAGGGAACCCCGACAAGAGGTGTATGCACGGGGATCCTGCCAAGATCTCGAAAATAGAGAGGTAGAAACGTATATTTGACAAAAGATTCCATCTCCGTTATTAGAGCTTAGGAGAAAATTCCTCTTTTATGGTCAGTGGAATAAATCCGCATTCGAAGTTTGGACGAATATACGGCTCCGGGGAAGTCAGGTCGAATATGATCGGTCACGATGGTTTATTGTCGTTAGAAAACGCATCAAAACACTTCCATAAATAGCTAGCTTCGAAAATAAATATTTGTGCATAGCACCTTGAGCTCGCATTCTCACAGAGTATAAACTTGATCGTGACGGATGGTATCAGCATTCCTGATTTTTTCAAGTCACGAATATATTCTCGATTGTGTCTGTCGTTCGCATATCACACGGTTCATAGCTCGCGCTCACCATTCATGCCCAAAGTTAGTGGACTGGTGGGAAAGTATGTATGTAGACCAGAGTCTAGAGCATCCAGCGGCACCGGACGATGAATGGAATTCCCCATCTTAAATGCTTTCCGACTGAGCGGGCGAGAATCTCAGTTTTGGCTAACGAGTGAATGATTTAGAGAACGATCATCTCACGCCTCAAGTGTTTGAAACAGGCTTCGGGGAAACTCCCGGCTTCTCAAGTGTTAGGTGTGTCGCAATTTTTTCAATTTAGCTCCGGCTTCGACTATCGTCAGGCGGACTATTTCTTTCGTCGTCATCACGAATCACATCGCAGCTTAACGAGGGGCCTCGCTGGTTCTCTTGAGCTCCGACTGCCGGAGAATCCATCCGAGCAGTTTTTTGAGATTAAGAACAAGGGATCAGCTCAGAAACGATGCGAGGCCGGCGCCCCTAGATGCGACATGACGTGATGCTCGTATTCTGCTTGGGTGGTTCCCGATGGCAGCGTTTCCTCGCACATCGGGCATTGCTTTCCGCCATCAGGCTTTTTTGTTGAACTCAGCTGTTGAGTGAAAAACACCCGGAACGAGTCGTCCGAAGGCCTTTGTGGGGTCGCTCTGTCCGAGCTCTGCTCCTTCGCTGCGCTCTGCAGCAGCGCTTTCTGCTGCAGAAGGCGTTCTTTAATTGTGCTCAACTGGCCTTTCATCTCGGTGACCATTTGCATCGCTTCCCGATCGTCGGTCGGTGATTTGACCGGAGCCTCGCCCGTAGATGTAGCGGACCCGTCCCGATCTTTGACTTTTTCGCCCATGTCGTGCAGGTCGTTGATGTCTCGCTCCATCTGCTCGAGCAGCTTCATACTGAGATCTTCCCAACTCTCCGATCCCATAATGTCGACATTGTGCTTGAAGGGTTTACGGCCTTCTTTCGCGACCGGTCTCACACGGTTCTCCTTCCGGAGCCGGTCGTTCTCTTCGCCAAGGGTTCGAACTTTCTCCTGGAGTTCGGAATTCATCCGTTCCAGTTGTTGGATACTTTGGTGAAGATGCCGCGTGGTGAGAGTCTTGTTGTCGAGCATTTGGAGCAGATGTTCCTTCTGTTTGCGGAGAGTTTCACCTTCTTCCTTGCACTTCCTCATGTGAAAATGTAAATCCTCGATAGCGACGTGAATGGACGAGTCGACTTCTTTCTTTGCTTTGGCCTGCATCAGTGTAGAGTGCATACTGAGAAAGTGGTTATTATTACCGTAAACGGGACATCAACATGTGTGGTGGGCTATACGATCACAATGGTAACAGCTGATCACGATGAAGCATAGGATCGATGACAGACGTTCCGACGTACATGATTTCTCCGAAAGAAACCACGAGAGGGGGGTGACAAGACGACAAAAGGCGTTTCAAAACGATGGGAGACTGCGACGGAACCAAATGCCAAGAAAAACACACAAGTGAAGTCACGGACTCTACTCTAATCTTGCTGGCACGGCTTCCCGATCCGCAACTACTGCACAGACTTTCCGAGGAAGGCAGTCGCCATCTTGTCCACAACACAAACAGGTGGAGAGGATTGACGTTGGCATGGGAACGTTCACGTTGCTCGCTCACGGCGGTTCTGAGACGAGAGTGGCTCTAGTCATTGCGACCCCACAAGACGGACTCCACGGCGGCAGAATGAACTCCTCGGATGTTTTGCGCGAAACTTCCAGTTCTGACCCTAATTCATCGATCCTCCTATATCATTTAATGAACACACACACATAGCATAGGGAACAGTCGAAGAATTGAACCAGTCCGTCTGAGACAAGCGGGAGATCCGGAACTCGAGCATTCTCCAAAGGCAAACGTATCCGTATGAACAGATGGGGGCTGAGTTCCGAATAATCTTGGAACGTCTGGGTCCTGGTAGCGAGAGCACTCGAGACCAAGTTGTGGAGCGAGGCCGACATGAATACGGGAGACGAGCCGGAGTCCGTATCTCCCGGCTCCAAACATCGAGACTCAAAGGCAAGGACTTGATTTCAGGTCGAGCGACTGGTCATTCTCCACGAAGAGGCCGAAGATGGAAACGCTATGCCGAATCTCTCAAGGCCGGTGCAGGCGGTGTCCCGTGCTGTCGCCAACCTCGTTAAAGTCGGACGCGAGACCATCAACTCCTCAGACGACATCATCCTACGGCAAGATATGCCGCAATCCTTGCAGCGAGTCGAACGTTCTTCTAAATTGCTTGAGGAAGCTTGCGAGATGCTTCTCAGAGATCCATACTCTCAGCCTGCTCGAAAGAAGCTCATTGAAGGCTCGCGAGGTGAGGGGTTAATCAGAAGATTCCAAGTCGATGAATTATTTTTCATGAATGATGGATGAATTATTCGGGGTGAAGACCTGCCCGAGATTCGACGATTTGCCGCGGTTCTCACTGACAAATATTTTTTCTCCACCGTAGGAATACTTCAAGGAACGTCGTCCTTGCTTCTTTGCTTCGACGAATCCGAAGTGCGTAAAATTGTCAAGGAGTGCCGAAAGGTTCTGGAGTATCTCGCGGTTGCTGAAGTGATCGAATCCATCGAGGATCTCGTCCAGTTCGTCAAGGACATGTCGCCGTGTCTTGCCAAAGTGTCGAAAGACGTCGATGGACGTCAACAAGAACTCACTCATCAGGTTCATCGCGACATCCTCATTCGGTTAGTAGCGGGATCCTTGATATCCCATTGAAGGGAAGCCCTATTAAACAAGGGAGCGAGAAAGAGGAATCGACTCAGAGGAGAATATTTCTCATGATCCTAACCTCAATTAGGCATTGTTTGCTGCGTTCCTCCGAGCTCCCGTGTAGATTTTTCTGACGATTATTCCATCGAATTACAGGTGCCTGGACTCTGTGAAAATGCTCGCCCCCGTCCTGGTTTGCTCGATGAAAATCTATGTCCAGATCCAGGCTCAGGGCGGGAAAGGCGTCGAAGAAGCTGCCGAGAACCGAAATTACCTCACGCACCGTATGTCGGAAGAAATCAATGAGATCATCCGCGTTTTGCAGCTGACGACCTACGACGAAGACGAATGGGAGAGCGATAATCTTACCGGGATGAAAAGACTTCAGAACGCCATACAGGGTCGCATTCAGTACGCCCACGACTGGCTCGAAGACCCCACAGCGATGCCGGGTGGAGTCGGTGAGAAGTCCATCCGTTACATTCTGGACTACGCTCGTCGAATCGCCGAGCGCGCGCTCCCAGCCGACCGCAATGCGATTCTGAAAGCTTGCGGCGACATCGAGTCGATGCTAAACGCGTTATGCGAACTTCGCACCAGCGGACAAGGTAACAGCCCGCAAGCAGTTGGGCTCGCGCGGAACATCGGGATCAAGCTCCGGGAATTGAACTCATTGATCAATCAGGCGATCCTGAACGTCGAAAGGGGCGGCCTGCGTGGGTCGCAGAATATTGCCGCGAAAATCGAGCAAGCTCTCGCTTGGTGCTACAACCCTAGTCTCGACGATGCTGGAAATGGCGAGCGCGCCATACGCGCCCTGCTTGAAGAAGGAAGACGCATTGCCGAAACGATGCCGCCAGCGGAACGTGCCGCGATCCACTCATTGTGCAACGAGATTGAGAACATGACAAATCAGCTGAAGGACCTCTGCAGAAAGGGCTTGGGTCACACTCCCGAGGCGCAGAATCTCGGCCGACTATTGGCTGGCAGACTGAACGATCTTCGCGGCCGAATTCAGAAAGGTCTCGTCGACCGCGTCGTCGACGACTTCATCGATGTTCACACGCCTCTGAAACAGTTTGTCGAGGCGGTCCACGCGCCCGAGAGCATGCCCGGAAGAGAAGCCAACTTCCAGGACAAAGCTCGCCGCCTCGGCGATTTTTCGAGGAAAACTGCGAGAACTGCCAGAAACGTCGCCATGGGCGCTACCAACAACAAGCGTCTCGCCGAGGCCTTGATGAACACCGCCAACAACGTCGAGTCTTTGACGCCTCAGTTGATCAGCGCTGGAAAGATCCGTATGACGTATCCCGACAACGTCGCTGCTGATGATCATTTCGAGAACTTGAGAGGCCAATACGAAGATCAAGTCAATCGTATGAGGAACCTGGCCGACGAGGCCACCGATATCAGCGCGTTCGTGCGCGCGACAGAAGAAGCGATCAAAAGGTATCGTGACTCAATCGACAACGCGGATCTGGCCGCATACCCGAGATACCGTTCAATCTCGGAAGCTCGCCAGCTTATCGGTGATAATATAATAAAAGTCAATAATTTGTCAGGACACATTTCCACCCTTGACCGCATTGCAGGCACACCGACATGTGCGAAGACTCGATTTCCCGCCAAAAACCGCAAGACATGGTTGATAACTCATCGGCGATCGCTCGCTTGGGCAATCGCGTTTTGATGCGATGCAAACAAGAATGCGATAACTCTGAAGATCCCCATTATGTTGCCAAACTGCTCCAAGCTTCCACGCAGCTCGAAAATGCGATCGCACCCATGATTCAAAACGCCAAGCAAGTGGCGCAGCGAATCCATGATCCTGATGCAGCTTCCAGATGGAGAACGGCGAACAATGGCGTAAGCGAACTCGGCAGTGAGAATTATTCCCCTAGCCGTCAAATTTCGCTGAAGAAGACCATGTCAGCTTGCGCATGAATTTACACAGATTTCCTAAAGTTCTGATCCCTCCACGCAGCTGCTGAAGGCCGTCCAGGGTGTCCGCAACGCTGTCTCCCCGTTCGACGATCAGATGAACAATCTCACCCTAAACGGTAATGTTTCATTCAAGCAAAGCATCTTTCGATCCCGAGGGTAGATATTTCATGAGCACTATCATCTTCGAAAACTCAAATTTTGATATTACCTTGTCAAATCCACAACCGCGTAGATCTGGACAGCATTCTGCGCCAGGAAATGGCCCCATTGGCACAAACTGGTCTCCACAGAGGTATAATCGAGTGAAACAGTTTGACTTGCCCGTGTGTCGAACCCCAGCATGCTCGTCCTGTCAACGAAAGAGCCGTCCGTTGAGGAAACTTACTCAGCTAATCCCAGAGAGTCTGACCTGTTCAACGCTTCTCTTTTCACAGACTATGCTCCTCCCCGTCCTCCGCCGCCGGCTGGAGACCGCGTACCTCCCCGACCACCCCCACCCGAGTACGAAGACGATGATTCTTTCCCGGTGCCACAACCGAATCAACCGATTCTCGCCGCTGCCCACGGGTTGCACCAGGAGGTCAGGCAGTGGTCGTCCAAGGACAACGAGATCATCGCCGCTGCCAAAAGGATGGCTCTGCTCATGGCCCGGCTGTCGCAGGTTAGAATTTGACCATTGAATGGAAAGTGCTGTCCTGTCCTAATTCCCGTCGCTCGGGACATGGAACGAGATTACAATCAGGTGATGATTTCTCTTGTTGTCGAGGGAAGGAAATTCAAGCACTCAGCATGTCCTCGTTCACGTTTCAGCTCGTTCGCGGTGAGGGAGGATCTAAGAAAGAATTGATCGCTTGCGCGAAGGCCATCGCCGAAGCGTCCGAAGAAGTCACGAGACTCGCTAAGGAACATGCCCGTCTCTGCACGGACCGCAGAATGCGAACGGCCATCTTGCAAGTCTGCGAAAGGATTCCCACCATTGGAGGACAGCTCAAAATCCTATCGACCGTCAAGGCTACCATGCTCGGCGCTCAGGGTGAGTTCAATCGGCTCAAGCCGAGAATTGTTCGCGCAACGTTCGTCATGGAGACGAGATATCACGCGGGGGAACGACGCTGTCATTCCGAGTCTCTCAAGAAAAATATCTTGAGCCCTCTGTGACGTGGTCTTTTCCAAGGAAACGGAATCATTCCGAGTCGACAATCACTGATAATCCTGGGGAATCCAGTCCTTCGGGCACGATTCTCTCTTTGGAATTTTCTTGCGTTCGCTATCTCTTCATCCGACGTCATTGTATTGAACGATAGAGACGACTCGAATGACTTATATGATGGATTACTGAGGGTAACTTCCGAGGCCTAATCGAACGCTCAGACACCTATTGCGATTGGAGGCGATACGTATTGACCCCCTGACTGATGAATGGATTGAGTATTGAATAGTTGAATAATAATAATAATGGTTGATCGATTGATTAGAATGTGCTTATGATTTTCGATTTCTAGCTCCTATTCCGACACCAGATGGCAGCGAGATCATTTGTGGTAAATAGATGGGTGCTCCTCCAAGTCGTGTGTGTGTGTGACCCTCCGACCCTCAAACGTCTGATTCGCTTAGCTCCCCTCCCTAGTCCTGAGTTGGCAGAATAATTCCATCATCCTCTTGTCCCGAACATCCTATTTATTCCCGAATCCCGGATTAAAACATAATGGTCCTCGGTTCAGATCAGGCAGTGGCAGTATTTTTCCGCCAGGAGTAATTGATCGAGAGCGCAGCCTCAGAAATGCACGATCGTGCGGTTCTTGACCTCGGCCCACGTCCGGGGTCTTTCAAGTTCGCGTACTATTCGATGGAACTCGAGATCGCGTTGGACTGATTCTAGCAGATCTGAAATTATGTGGCTCGTTTCTCGATTGTCTGAAGTGTCTCTCCATTCCAGGCTCCGACGAAGACCGCGAGGCTACCGAAATGCTTGTCGGTAACGCCCAGAACCTCATGCAGTCTGTTAAGGAGACCGTGAGAGCCTGCGAGGCAGCTTCAATCAAGATCCGGACGGACGCCGGAATGAAACTTCGTTGGGTACGCAAGAACCCGTGGTACGCGTGAACGGACTCGTCGAAAATCCAGGTCTGAGGCCTAGATTCCGAGTTCCAGGCTCTTCCCGTAAAACTGCTACTCATGATCGGCGACCTCTTCTATTGCTGCTACTACAAATCATACAGTCTAGGTAGGAGACTATGAAAACTGCTCGCGATCGGACCCGATGGGGCCAACTCTGGAAATATCCACGAGAAGCCCACGTTCGTCTAGCCGTCGCGAGCCCCTAACAACACCATGTTGCCTACAATGTAGCTTTACGAGAATAACTTATTCATACCCTCATCTGTGTCACACACGATGGAACAGCTAGAGTTCATTATCTGAGGTTGGCCATAATCACTCTGTTCGTCGTTTTCCGAGGACAGGATTCTTTGAATTAACTTTAGTGGGTACTGTTGTTACTGATGTTACTCTCGTTTGACTGTTCGACAACGAGTGGAAAAAAGAAAATGTGAATTTAATTTGAATGAGTCAGCAGAACGATTCCTGGATGACAACGCGCCAGCATTTACGGAGAAATCGGAAGGTAGCGATCCCCATGTTCAGGATGGACGAGAATGGCGTAACTTGAACGATTCAATTGTTGTTAACTCGTAGTTGCGCGCTATTAACAACTATTATACATGGAAATGTTGGAGATTGATGGCTGAAGTGAGGATTGATTATCTCACTTGATTCAGAGCAATTTGGTTTCCTACTCGGGAGATCGTCCTTGGTGGATACGGTATTTCGACGCTTCCGACGGTGTTTCGGAGAAACCTCTAAACTAGAGGCTATCGGAATGAGATGACACGCTGAAGTCAAATAAAAATCGAGTCTATAACACACTATCAATGTCTTGTCGAGTCTTTGTCAAGTTCCTTGAACGCTCTTAATTTGTTTGACGATCCGTCGCTGCATTCGCACCCTGTGAACCGCGCTTCCCACCCCTCGCAAATACCTGAGGGTCTCCTGGCTGAGTCGTATTCGGTGTGACACTCTAATACTCGTCGAACTCTCTCACAATGGATAGAGCTTTTGGACCCGCGGAAAGATATCTTGAGAATTCGTCGACTTCCTGGGATACTGTCGGCTTGTACAAGACGGACGCTTCTCGGATTGTTCGCAAATCTAAGCCCAAGCTCCGAACGCGAACCTGTAAAGCTAAGTGTGAATCAACCTGATTCTAATTCCTCCGCATCTGTTTTCGCTCACTCCTATCATCCTAATCAAGAAGTCAGGTCAGCTTGAGCTCGTGATGAAACGGCGGTTGAGCTTCGAGAGCTTGAACTAAATGACCGGTCAAAACGGTGCTAAGCTCCTTAGGCTTTCAGCACATGCATCTTGCACGCGGGCTCTCCTTGAGTATTTTCTGGCCAAAAGAAAACTTTATGTGGAACATAGATGCCGGAAGCTCATGGGACTTGAAGGAGAATGGCTCGAGCTCCCTCTCTCAGGTCACGGTCATTTCCGAAATTTGAGATTCCATGAAAATCCAGGCTAGCATTTCTAGCTGCGTGTTTTTTTGGGCCGTTCGGATATTGAATGGATCCAGTCTCGGGATGGATCACGCCCCTGTTGTCGTCACTGATTCCACGGGTCACTTCGACAGTTCAAAAAGGGATAATTGGTTCGCGCGGCAAAGTCCCATGCTCTCCCAGGATGAATCCAGCGATGAGATGCAAAACTCCATGACGGATCCACCAGACAGAAGCCACCTCGATTCACGAAAGGCCTTACAGTTTAAAGATGCTTCATCGGTCTTCCGGGTCACCTCCGAGAATGGCGGTTTCCGGTTCTTGTATCCAATTCGAGCCCGGGTCTCGTGGCAGATGAGGAGGCTCTACTAGTCGACGACCAACCCTAGCCTTGGACTTCTCGCCCGTAATAATCATACTTCGAGTGTCGAAGCGAGCACACGCTCAAGATCTCATGATGAGGGAGCTGATCTCTCCGGAGCAGAGAGGAACGATCTCGACACTCGCTGCAGAAGGCTTTATGGGTAGAAAAGATGTTGGAATCTGCTACCTTCGACGCGCTATCGTGGAGCTTCCTGGGAGCGTGGGAACAATAATGGACCGAATGATTCCTGCATCAACCGCGGGAACTGCGCATGTTTCGGAAGCGCAAACCCTTTCCTCTGGGGCATCGTCGTCTCGAGCACTCCCGGATGCCAAGAAGAAGACTTCGGTATTTTCTTCTGCCCAAGGGATTTTTCGATAGTCGACAATGATGGCAAGATAGTACGAAAGAAGTGAGCCCTCCGGAATTCTTCGCTCATGGATTTCTGGATTGCGAAATTTTCGAAAGCGACCACCACAACCATAGGATAGGGTGGGCGATTCTCTGTCAGGCTCGTGACAGACTATATGTTGCCGATACCGTGCTTCTGTTATGATTTGATTGAAAGCAAGCGTCTCGTGGATTCGTTGGTGATTCCGCCCTCTGACGTTCGCTGCGGTCAATGGAAGGCCGTAACGCAACACTTTCGACTTGAATAGGCTCAGAACGCCTGTACAAATTTATGAACTGAACTTCATTTGTCCCGCGGGAGGGAGAATCTACAGACGACCGACGGATTAGTATTTAGAGTGATCTCTTCCAGCAACGACGTCGCGGAGAAAGCGAATGAGGGTCCTCCCCTCGCGTGAGTGTGATTTTCACGAAGTGAGCCCGCCGTTGCGATTAGTCAAAGCTTTTAATCGGTTCGTCTGTCCGTAAATCGGCTGGCCAGGCGGCCAGCATTGCGCTGATCCAGCTGAACAAAACTTCCTCTTTGGAAGCGTCTCTGTCCATTCTGACCCTCGAAGTGCTTGCGACAGCGAGTGGGAGCCATGGAGGGCTACACCGACCCGACAGAAACGAAGCCACGCTACCTGCTGGCGGTAGGATCCGCATATCTGGGATCGTATGCGGTCGGAGCCGCTCTCGGATACTCTTCACCGGTGACGGATAAGTTCGTCCAAGCTTACAGAATCAGTGATGAATATTTCGGCAGCGTCATCGCTCTGGGCGCCTTGTTCGGAGGTCTGGTAGCGAGTTATCCTGCGGAGAAACTCGGCCGGAAATTCACGATCCTCTTTTCGGCGGCGATTTTCGCGTTGGGATGGACTCTCATGCTGATCAGGAGCGGACCATGGATGCTGTACCTTTCGCGAGCGATCCTCGGCCTCGCCATCGGGATCGACTCCATGGTGGTTCCCGTGTACCTCGGTGAGATTTCACCGGTGGAAAAACGAGGGATCCTCGGCGCAGGCCACCAGCTCAACTGCGTTATCGGCATCTTGGTCACGTACATCTTCGGTGTACTGATGGGGCCTTCGCTATTGGCGATCACGTGTATCATTCCCGTGGTGCTCAACGCTCTTGCCATTTTCTTCATGCCCGAGAGTCCCACGTGGCTTTCAAAGAACAAGCGACCCATTGGCGAGATCATGTCATCTCTGTATTTCCTCTACGGGAGGACAGTTCGCGCCGAAGCTCAACGAGAGCTTCTCCAAGAAGCTCAGGATAACACAGCGAACGATTTCGTGATTACTGACTTGTTCCACCGGTCGGTCCTGGCACCCCTTTTGATCGCGCTCGGGATAATGTTGGCTCAACAGGGTTCGGGGATCAACGCGGTGGTGTTCTACACGAAAAATATTTTCATTCAAGCCGGAGTAACGAGCATAGATCCCGGAGTGCAGACCATAATCGTAGGATTCGTCCTGGTCGTTTTCACTGTGCCAGGGGCGCTTCTCATGGACAAGGCAGGTCGGAGACCTCTGCTGCTCATTTCATCGTCGGCCACGCTATTCGGCACCATCCTGTTCATCGTATTCTACGCTATAAGGCCCGCAACGGGTGCCGTACCGGGGTCGATCGCTTGGATGCCGATAGCAGGATTATCGATCTACGTGGCTGGATTCGCCTGCGGACTGGGACCCGTTCCGTGGCTGATGATGGGCGAACTCCTGCCCGTCAGAGCTCGAGGCGCCGGGACAGGCATCGCGACTGCTTTCAATTGGTTTTGCGCCTTCCTGGTGACATTCATATTCCCGGATGTCTCCAAAAGTCCCGGTCCTCATTACGCCTTCGCGTTCTTCGCCGTCATCACTGTCCTAGGAATCGCAATGGTAATATTCCTGGTCCCCGAGACCAAGGGCAAATCACTAGAAGAAATCGAAGCCCTGTTCGACACCCGAGCCGACCTGGCCTTGAGCTCCGTTGACACCGTGGAGACAACTAATAGCTTCAAAATCCAATGAGAAAAGTCCTCACTATGAGCCTCGTCGCCTATATCGCCTTCAAGAACTATTCCGAAACCCAAGCAGGAATAATGGACGATTATCCCGCTGATTCTCCCGATCCACTGTCCTGACGATAGCATCGTGGAACAACGCATGCCCTGTGGGAGCTTTTGGGTCGCGATAGAGAAGGTCTTGGAGAAGTCTTGGAAGTGGCGCTCGGCGTCAGACGTTTGTACAAACGACAATCGAATATGGTTTTCCTGATCGTGTACAGTTTATGTTGTAGAGATACTAGGCTTCTTCATCTTACATTTAGAACTGATATTCTAGCGCCGGGTCAGGAGAGCGATGACGTCGCATCTGGCCCTCAATAAACTTCAGCCAGCGTTGAAAATCTTTCACTCGGTCAAAGTCTCTCAAAAGAGAGGGAAGCACAAGCCTCTCTGTGATAGGACACCATTCCGAGAGGCAGAACAAATGTCCATGTTCGGGAGTCACTGACTGAATGAAAGCAATGCATCCTTGGGATACTTCAGATTTCGCACGCAATCTCCCAGCTGCGGGGCGCCGCACCTGGAAAAAATACGAATTTCAAGAGAAGAAACGCTCAACTTTCGACACTATACGGAACACAGAAAAAAGCGAATGGGAGATTGTTGTAATGAAATGATTTAAACTTCCCGGAACGACCCTCTAAAGTTCGTAACTATTCCTGTCCAGGAGCGTCCGTCAGCGCTTCACCCGCAATGTACAAATCAGCTATGTCTCTCGGGTTGCATCGAGGGACACCACAGGATCTGTACGAAATCCGTCGATGCCGGTCCATTGCAGATCAACTCCCGAAAGATTGAAGGAAAGAGCATGGGCTTAATCGGCGCACCGCTTTCCGCCGAACGGACGGAAGTTTTTCTGCGGTGCTGCGGACATTCTGATCTCCCATGTGGAGCCTCTCCTCTGGTCTACCGACAGCAGCTGGAATTCCGCGAGAAAGCTCAATCGAGGGAGCGTTCGCGCCACATCACCGACGCTGATCGGCCCTCTTTGAAAACGTATCGGCGTAGCACCTCACGAAGATCACGAGCGCAGGCTCCTAGGAATGAGCCGGGCTCGGCCAGGAGGAGTCGATTGTAACTCGAGGCTGTTCTAGGACTGCCGGGAGTCCAGATTACAGAAAAGCCGGAGCCCGCGATATAGGAGCGGGGACGAGCAAACGTCTTCTCATTTTCAGGCCTTTTCACAGAAATCGGGGAAAACACCAAGTATGACGAGATGGACACACACCTGGAATGAGCGATTTCCGACTGATTCTTCCATTCCTCTGTTTTTTGAAGTCCCGCTCTTCCGCTTGTTGAATATTCGATTGGACTTCGGGCGCACGATTCGATTGAGCTTCACAGGTGCATTAATAATTCGGATACAAGTGTTCATGCAAATCCCGGCCTCTCCCACGAGCTTCGTCTATCCCTGACTGCCTAGGCACTCCGCTTGGCTCTGAGTGCATGGATGTTCAAATCCCTCTCCCTCCAGTTTCTCTTGTCTTCATTCGATCGAGAGCTCGGAAGCTGCTCGATGATGAGTCACGACCTCGAGTTTCTTTGTCGAATGGAGTTTTCAATCCGCGACCTCGACACCAATCTCGATGGAGTGCTTTGACTCCGTGCTTACTCTCCATTCTGGCTGGCTGGCTGCTTGACTGAAAGACAGGCAGGCAGGCAGACTGACTGGGTGACGGCTACTCTCCCCCGGATCCGCACGAGCAGCTTCTGAGGGAAGCATTGGACTGTGAAATTAGCGTGCACTGAAGAATTACTCATAATTCGAGGACGCGCGCTCGAGAAAGTCTAATCAAAATTATTCGATCCGGACACCGCAGCCGAATCTTGATAGGTATTTCTGATCGGCCAAGATTATCTGTCCGGGCCCATCCAGACGCAAATTACTCCTCTGACGAAAACAGCGACGTTTGCGCAGTCTCTTATTCGACATTTCCATCCTCAAACGCAATCGGTTCTCGAATTGTTTCTCCGATCCCAAGCATTGAGCTCGCGATCGGCGCTGGAGAACGAGCTTGGCGCCTACCTCAGTATTTGTTTCCGCAGACTTGCACTTCAGCAAGTTCAATCGCTCCCTCCGCAGCAAACTAGCCCAAGGCCTACGGCGTGGAATCGGATCCGAATGGATCGATCCCGCACCGGGACATAAGCATCCTGACTGAAGAAATGTCCGGTATCCGCGTGCTCTACTACTCTGCTTCGCACCCCGCCGTTCGCCATTCTTCAGTGTGGATTCCAAAGGTTTCCGTGTACGGCTCCCGATTTGCCCCGGGGCCACCCGCCGCTTCCCCCCTGTCGTCTCCGCCCTCGATACGCACGAAATACAACCTTTCGAGCCTCCTGGCGTTTCCCCGTTTTTCTCGCCGATTTTTCAGAATCGAAAGATTCGGAATCGATTTCAAACTTAGGAGCGACTCTTCAGGTTTGTCGCTCCGGATTTTCCTCTTGAGGGCTTCTCGGCGTAAGTTCTTCGAGAGATCATTGAGCTGAGAAGGGTTCCTGTCCGTGGAAGCTTGAATGCACCCGGAAGCGATGTGCTCAGCTCAGAAGGCCGTGGTGCTCCAACGTTCGTATCCTTGACAGAAGCCGAGAGCACGCTTACATGCGAAAAATTATATCTACATACGATACGGCATCTCCCCGTCGTTAGCGATCGTCTGCATCAATGTGCTGTATAATTGAACCATTCGTCATCCCTATTTCAAGATTGGGAAACTCCTTCGATTCCTAGAACCCATGGGAGATTCAAAATTTTTGACCTGCATCTCGAAGGCGAGAATGAGGTCCGACACCTGTTAGGCAAGAGGCTCCGGTCGCAATCTAACAGTCGAAAGTGCGGACCCTTATACGCGTGGCTGCGCGATGGAAGTTATCCCGAATCCTCTCCCTCCACCAACGGTTGGGTAACCAACGAATGGTTGTGGAGCACCAATGTGGACAAGCACTCTATCTGTTCCGGAGAGAGGCTTCAAAGTTATCTTTCCGTCATGGACCAAATCTGTTTCGATTGTGGTGCAAGAATCCGTCGGTCGTCGATGTCACCTCAGTGAAAAAGAAAGCAGGTGCGCCTTGTCTTACGAATCCCCCGTCCCCGTAGCTCAGATGGACCATCAGAGCGAGCGGCTCGCGAAAGCTTGCTCTTTACGACCGACGCAAAAGAGAATCGTCACGTAATATACATGGTAGGATCGTCACAACTTCATTTAAAGTTAACGCCTTCCCCGTCACGTCGGACACGCGGAGCGTGGTCACGACATGACCTCCGAGCGTCCATGTTTACGAAATCCAATTACCCACTCACTCACTCCGCGGCTGCTTCAGAGAATTCCACGGCAGAAGCCGAAAAACTTGAGCGATCCACCTCAAGAATCCGCGGCGGTATCTCATTCTGAGCATAGAAGGGAAGGGTTCCCGAGATCCAAGAAGTTCCACAGAGAAAATAGAAGACACTGACGGAAAGTCAGCCGTCGATGACACATCGCCGGACTACACACAGAGAACTGACCTTCTCCACCTCATATACATACGCCCGAAATCCATGTGCATGTGTATATTCACAGTGACCAGAACAACAGGGAGTTCCTCTAGATCCAGGGGTCTTGGGACGTCTCAATGGGTTCCCATTTGTTTCCCCCGGACGATCTCGTGAGACTTGTCCAGGAAATCGAGCTGTAGGCCGTAGCTTTCCTGCAGAACTCTATCTCTGGGCCTCCGCTCGAGGCAAGCACGTGCTCGGACGAGTCAAAATCCAATAAACACGACGATCGACGAGGCTCGATCACGGAGATTTGATGGGGTTTCACTGATTTGATCGGATCTCGGATCCGAATATTCGGGCACACTGTCTTTGGAGTTCTCACACGCATCGACCCGCTTTAGCGGTTTTCGGTACCTCAATGATGTCCATAGGGACCAGACCGCAGGCAAGATATATCGTAGCACCGGATCAAGGCTCGCACATTTCGCTACGGACCTCAACGCAGCAAAGCAAGTGCTCAACCCCTAGCTCTATCGAATGGTCATTGGCCGATCGGTTGTGAAGCTATACATGTTTCGCTAGGGGATTCTCGAGGAGGTTCTAGCTCTCCAGATGCTCCGCAACGAGGCCTTCGCTGGGATCGACTCGTCCCGAATTGGTTGTCACTGAGCCCACTGCCATCCACGGAACAGTTTACTCCGACTCTGCCCCGATGGACGGATCGGTTGATCCTCGGGTCCTTCGCAATGTTGAACCAGAATCTGCCACATAATTATTCGCCGGGACGGTTTTTCGACGAGACACAAATCACCCTGTCGTGAGAATTCTGGGCGGTACTCCCTCCTACCAAAATATCTGGGAATGCTCTCTCACACCCACGGAATTCGACGGGCCAGTATGTGCACAGTCAGAAACGATTGCTCTTCATTCAAATTCATTAGATTCATTCGGCCGTGGTCGGAAGAAATGGAAATCAGACGATGGGATAACAAGGCATACTGCAGTCTCGCTTTCAAAATCCAAACGGGGATGCCGGCTCTCTTGCTTGGGGGCTGCATCTGTTCGGGAGTGGAGCAGAAGCCGTGCGACTGCGAGGCCGACGGTTCTCGCTGCGAAAAGCTCGGTGTTGAAAGCCGACCGGGAGCGAAATATGTCGCTCCAGACAACAACTAATTTTCTACATCTCAAAACAGATCAGCGAGGATACCGTCCTCGTCTAATCCCCGTAATCACCGAGCTTGATGGTCCGTCGGTGACAATGTCCCATTCCATTAACTCGGTCCTCTTGTCGTCTCGTATTTCCGCGATGGTTTCCTACGATAGTGCCCTGTGGATGAAAGTCCCGAAGCCGATTAAAAAGGAGAGTCGTCGGATCGATTGAGGAGCGGAACTAGGTGATGCCGTTCTTGAAGGGTAGAATGCTATCCGATCCCCAATCTAACAACTGAGTGAGCTGGATTCGGATTCTGGAGGACCGGTATCCTCTACTCTGATGAGATCACTGCATCGGGTCTGACGGTCGAACGCCGGAGCAACCTTGGACACGATGAGGGCGAATCGTGAGCCAAGCAAGAAGGGCATGCTCACTCCCTCCACCCTGCATTTTGCCATCCGCTTTTATCTGTACCTCTCGAGAATTCGCATAATTGCGCAGATTCGACCAAGTGGATTCTATTTGGAAAGGCAGAATAATTATACAATAAAGCTGGCTCAAAACACAGGCTGGGGGAGTCATTGAGAAAAAAAGCTGTCCGGGAGCATATGCGAGCTCGGAGTGTGCATGTTCAAAGCGCTTCCTGTAGCTCGTCGTGTCGACCAGCGGAGTATAATTAAGGACGAGGTACGACTCGAGTACCGCGTAAATATTAGGC